CAAGATTTACAGTTACTTTTGCACTAACACAGCAAGAGTGGAAAGGTTAAATGAATTATGTCATTTGAAGTTCAGCACTAACAACCGATAGGCCATAGACACATCCATCTGTGAGGTGCTATAATCTGTCACGGAGCAAAGGAAAAACCATAGAAGCCTTGAGGTGGAGGTGGAAGGTTTCTTCTCGGCCATCCAGTCCACCCCCACTGCTCAGTACAAAAAATCCAGAGCTCAAGCATCCTCTGCATCAAACGGCTGTGCAGCCCCTGCATCTTTCTTGAAGCTAAGAGCCATAGGGCTGCATACGTTCAAATGACATTTTCCCTGCAAAGAATCCTGGGAACTGTAGTTTGTTAAGAGTTCTGGGAATTGTTGATGACTGGCCATTACTACGTTTTGTGGTTGTGAATTTCAGAGATAAATTATGCGCTTTGTGAAGAAGTACTTTCTTTTTGTGTCTGTCCCGAATCTTCCAGCATTCAATGTCCAGGTTCGAGTATCTTGATAGAGGGAGAAAAATATCTCTCCATTCACTTTCTTCAAATCAGGCCAAATTTTATGCACCTCTATCATGTTTCCCTTCACTCACCTTTTCCCTAAACTAAATGGCCCAAATGTTATCACCTTTTGTCACAGACGGGGCTTTTTTTCAGTCAGAACTCTCAGGTGGGCACCATTATGAGAGAACAAGGAAGGCGTTCATGGTGAGTTCTGGCACCTCTTTTTCTAGAAAAATAGCACTGGTCATGGGGAAGGTGTATTCTAGACAGCGGTGTCATCTGAAGCTGTCACTGACCATAAGTGACATCACAGGCACTATCCAATACGTCCCTGTAACTTTCATGTAATCAAATTCCAGGAAGCACTAAAACTCACAATGGCCCCACTAGCTGGGGAAAGCATTTCACATTTCACTTCCCCAAGAGTATATTGTTGATGGAGTGCTGGGAAAATACAATGTCCCAAGGAAAGAAGAGCTTCCTTAAAGGAAAAGGTGTGGTGGGATTCCACGTAACAAATGAGCAACAACTGCTTAATGAGGTGATAGGTATGGGTCAAGTTGATCTTTCTTCTAACCTACTCTGGCCAGATGGTGAGTTTACCAGCAATAATGACTTTTTGATCTTCCACAGATGGAAGCCTCTATGTATGAAAATGTAAAATGGATTACATTCAAATTTAGCAAACATTGTGTACTCTACAAGTCGCAACAAGCTGGCTCAACAGTAAAGGATTGTTCCTTAGCAAATATATGGCATGAGTGCACAGCAATGACTAAAATCGAGGAGCGGCCAATTCTGCCCCCACCTGGATCCAAACTGCAAACTTAGAACACATATGATCTAGTCAATCTCAAAAAGCTATGATTACTTGTTACAAACAAATTATGCCAGACAGATCGAGCTTCCGTCTTTAATATGGCAATGTAATAACGACAGAGATTAGGGTACATGAAAAGTAGATATGATATTGACTCCAACACTTCCTCTTTTAACCAACTCCCATAGGTTCACTAAAGAGTCTCGAGAAATGAGACTTTAAAAGAGTGTGTGTTTTTCAAGACAACCTGTGGATTTGGGTGTGAAGTCAGGATCTCCCAAAAAGGATTCTCAACTGTAAGGGCTTCACATGTATTCTCAGCAGTGTTTAAGGCTATGGCAAACAACTTTGATGTAACTTTCATTTACCAGGAAATATCTGACGGTCACAACACCATCTTAATTCTAGTCCAGGATAAAGAGAGGGCATTCCTTCAGTGGGGCCTAAGATTGGAGTTGGGAAGGGTTGACCAGCAGTGTGGACAGTGGTGATTCTAAAGAAAGATGCTGATGGCACTAAGGGTATGTTTTAACAGTGCTTTCATTCCTTTGCCCTAAGGGTGAGGAAAGTATCCAGAGAGACAGTTTTATCCACATGGCATGATTATGTCATGCTGCTCCCATCACGCACTCAGAGCTCCTGATTTTCCTGGACCTGCCTTCTGTCGCCACCTCCTGTTTCTGCCTTAAGGCTGGCAATTCTACTCCCAGTTCAAACCAAGAGGTGGTGGCTGGGCTCACACTATACCTTCAAAGTTCATTCAAAGCACATTCTTTCACTCAAAGAACTCTGGGCACTGCAGTTTGTTAAGAGCTGCCGGGAATTGCAACTGTGAGCCTATATTTTGGCAGGGCCTGCCCTGTGGAACTCCCTACTGGTAGAAATTCTGCAGGAATGTCTTTGCCAGCCCTTCTAAGACTTCTGAAAGCTGTACTGTTTAAACTGGCCTTTCGCAATATGAATTTCTCTTTTTTTTTACCAACTTGTAATTCCTGTCGTTTTATTGATGTTTCTGATTATGATTTATGGATTGATTTTATTAAATTTTTAATGTTTGTAAGCCACCTTGATATACTGTATACCTGAAGGAGCGTCTCCACCCCCATCGTTCTGCCCTGAGGTCCAGCGCCGAGGGCCTTCTGGCGGTTCCCTCACTGTGAGAAGCGAAGTCACAGGGAACCAGGCAGAGGGCCTTCTCGGTAGTGGCGCCCGCCCTGTGGAACGCCCTCCCATCAGATGTCAAAGAGATAAACAACTACCTGACATTTAGAAGACATTTGAAGGCAGCCCTGTTCAGGGAAGTTCTTAATGTGTGACATTTTAATGTATTTTTAATCTTTGTTGGAAGCCGCCCAGAGTGGCTGGGGAAACCCAGCCAGATGGGCGGGGTACAAATAATAAATTATTATTATTACTACTATATGGAAGAGCAGTTTAGAAATACTTAAAGAAATAAAACTATTGTTTAGTTCAGGGATGGGAAAACTGCGGTTCTTTAGCTGTTGGACTGCAGCACCCATTCATGACCATTAGCCATGCTGGCTGGAGTTGACCAGAGCTTGAGTTCAAAAACACCTGGAGGACGTCAGGTTCCCCATCCCTAGTTTAGCATTGCATCCAACTGGTTGGTTAAGTGGATGAGTAACACTAAAGTGTAAAAAAAAAAAAAAGAATATTCATCCAAGTAGCTATAAACCTTAACCCCTGGTTAACTATTTATGTGTGAATATTGCCATATATTTGGTAAGTTGTCAAAGTATTATTTTCATTATTCCAATAAATACTATAAAAGTCAAAATAAAAATGCTACAAGTTCTGGAACATGTCCTATCTAAATCTATACGATCTGGAAATATTTGGCAAGGGAGTTCAGTAATACAAAACAGAAACAGAAAGGGTCCCGGGCTAAACTCGGGGGAAATGCCAAACTATTAATTACACATTAACTGAAAGCTTTTTATTTTTCTGTTTAATAGCAACTACTCAGAGCCTGTGTTACAGTTTAACAGTACATTGATTTCCAATCTAAGTATGTAAGTTCAGGCCATCTTGGTCCCGAGAGTGAAAATGATGAAATAAAATTGAACTGGCCATTTTAGATACAAGTTAGGGAATAAGAGACGCAAATTCTGGTCCATTAGCACATTATTTGGCAAAAATTAATGATAAATCAAAGCTGAGGGCTGGCAAATATTCTCACAATTGGAAGATTGGCCACTTACTTGCAAATTTATTTTCTTCCCAAAATTATTTCACCCCCCTTGAGAAATAATTTGATAAATCACCCAAGCCGTAAAATATTTGCATTGAGCTATATAACCAGCCAAACATTCAAATATAGTTGTTCACTTCGGCCAGTGCAAGCAGGACTCCAGCAAAAGGGTTAACCCATCTCAGAGATTGCAATGCCCTTTTTGAGCCTCATCAAGAAAGAATATCGTGTAAGGTAGCTCCATACTCATGTATTATGGGAAACGGCAGATCGGAGGAAGGCATCTAGCTCAGTGGTTGAGCATTCAAAAGGTTGCAGGTTCAGCTCCTGACAGCTCTCTTTAGGACCCCATGTTTCAGCAAAACTGCCAGAAACTTCTGCCCGAGGCCATAAAAAGGCATTGCATGTACTGTGTGAAAAGTCCTAATTGCTCTGTAACTCAAAGAGAAATACCACTCAGTTGTTCAGAATGCAAAGCTAAATCTTCAGCATTATTAAAACTGTCAGGGGAATATAAACAAAACATAAGTGACATGAGTTTCTAAAGTTTTCTCGACTCCTGCTTATGGGTCCTTGATCCTAGAAATTTGGCCAGTCTTTCTCATTTCAGCCAAATTCTTTCTCATTCGGCAAAGCCTTGGAACCACTAAAAGCAGATTCCATGGGTATCTTGATTATCTGCCTTCTTTTGGAGCTGAAGGCCAATAAGCACTTAAGTTGCAGAAACGTAGAAGGAAGATGAATGAAATAACGTGCCCAAAACTTCATTCACCCCCCAGGGGCCCCAAGCTCATCCTGCACATCCACAGAAACTGAGAGACAAAAATATAATACTACCCTACCTTAGAAGGCTTTGTAAGGATTAGTGACATGATATATGCAAAGCTCTTTGAACACTCAGGGGAAGAATGCTACATAAATTCTGATTTTTCCCCATTTGAAAGGACAGCATCCAGATTTTGAGGACTCTCTATAGGGCTTAATAGAGTATTATTGCTTCCCCCTTCGCGTTTGGGACATGTGCAGAGAATTGCACACCCAAGCAGCATACTGGGGCAATCCAGGGAACAGGAGATTAGTGCATGGCTTCCATATCACAAACCAGCCTTTTCTATTGCTCTGTGCTGCAAGTTACTCAGCACCAAGCGTAATTCTTCAATATATTTTTTAAAAAATAAACACTGGCAGAAAATCAAAGAATGTACTGAAAGCCCATGAAAGGCGTTTTCAAACTAAACATGGAAAGAATGCAAGAGATAGAAGTGGTTCTGTGGTATCAGATGATGTCCAGCTTTCGTAAGAGTAACATTCTTCCTTCATTATATGCTCCTTATAGAAAATGGAAATCACTACATTCCCATATGCTCTGTGCCTTTGGTGTTATTCCTTAAACTTATCTTTAATTTTCATCTCTCTCTCTCTCTCATGCACACATACTGTGCTGAAAAATGGACAGTGTGACTGTAAATATTTTTCACTCTTTTAATAGGAAATCAAAATTCACATTTTTAACAGGTCTCTGCACACCAAACCAGTATACCTACCTTCTTCATAAGTATCTACAGGCACCCCCCCCCAACTTACGCAGGTGAAATTTATTAAGTGGGGAGCACCCTCTAAACACCCTTTAAACATCCTCTCTGCCGCTCTTTCTTCAATCCATACCAAAAATACTGTATCCAAAAATATCCACAACTAGAATTGAAGATCTGGGGCCGGCAGGAGGCAGGAATAAGCGAGGAAAAGAGGCTGCTGATGCTACGCTACTCCACAGGTCAGCTGTTAGATGGGGAGGCTGAGCAGCATAAACAAAGCCCCACTGCGCCTCTGGTCTCCTCAGGACTTCATTCACCCTCACTGACATTCTCTTCGGGCTCTAGGGAGGGTCTCCTCACAAGCCACGTGGACTCTCCAGTTCTCTCTCGCCATTTCCGGGTTTGAATTGAATTATTTACATCCTACCAATGCAGGTATATGTGGTCACGTGCAAGTTGCTTGTGCGTAAGTGGAAGAATGTCTGTACTGTATTTTGGAGTGATCTCCAACCGCTGCAAAATCTATAAGAAAAGAAAAGAAAAGAAAGCCTGACATCATTTACCCGCAACCCAGCACCGGAGATCTGCAGTAGTTTTGCCAATGCTTATAGACACATTCCCCATCCCCATTTTGATGATCGTCCACACATTTGTTGAATCGTCCAAATATGTATTTTGGTGCAAATTGGAATGTACACCTGATGCAGGGCTATAAGTTGTAACACATGACTAGCCCACAGTTGCAGCTGCTTTGAGGTTTTTACTACAATCAAGTGTACAAATTTTTTTAAGTAAATAAATTTTAGGCACTAGCATTTTGTGTTATTTTCGCGAAGAAACACATTTATGTACAGAATTTACTCCACCATATACATTTTTCTACACATTAGTCAAATGGACAACTGAACGGCAAAATTTAAGGAAGTTCAAATTTCAAAGGATGGCTGTGTCTTGATTCACATTTCGTTTCGGGAAGGGCAGATTAGATAGGTTCACCTGTAAATGCAACCCAAAACAAATTTCTCCCATCCCTAACTGCAGCTCACCTGAATGGTGCTTTTGTTTCCGCCATTAGTGGATGTCCATATTATGTTTTTATATATGCTGTAAGCTACGCAGAGTGGCTGGGGAAACCCAGCCAGATTTGGGGGGGGGTATATATAATAAAATTATTATTAGTATTATTATTAGTATTAGTATTATTAACCTAAAACACACATTACTGTCCTTTGTTCCACGCTTCTCAGTGTACTGCTTCCTTGCTCTATTTATCCTGCCACTGGCTGTCTTCTGCTTTCACACTTGTGTTCTTTCTTAATTCCACACCTCTTCATATTCTGTCATTCTTAGGTGGCCATACTGACTGCAGTGTGAGTACGGTATGTTCTTCGCTCTTGAGCCCCTAAACAATATTTGCCTGAGTCTCTGTGAGGAATGAACCTCTAGACCAGAGGTTTTCAACCTTTTTGGATCCACAGCTTGCTTAACCAACTACATTCTTTCTGCGGCTTCCCTGTGGGGCTCAGGAGCCCAGTTATGTCACCCCTTGCCTGCAGACCTGGCAGCCCCTCACCCCTTTTCAAACCCTCCCTTGTGGAGTGTTCCTCCAGCCTCCTCTCTTCTCCCCTCTCCTCAGCTGCCACCCCTGGTCTCTGAGCTGGCCCCCCTGCCCCCAAAGAGAGGTGCCTCCTCACACTGCCCTACAGGGGCCTGGGAAGCACCCACTGGCCATCCCCAGAGGCACCATTCGCCTGGGGAGCTTGTAGTTGGGACTGCTGCAGCTGTGCAAGCCTTTGGGAAACAGAGACGTAAGAGAACATTAGAGGAAGGGTGGAAGGAAAGAGGAACAGAGGCCAGTGTTGCCCACAGCACCCCTGGTTATCATTCAAGGCACCCCAGGGTGCCACGGCACACTGGTTGAAAACCACTGCTCCAGGCTGCTTACCTGACTCCTGTGTCGGCTTTCTTTACAGCGCAGATGAACTGAAGTCCTTCTGTTGCTACATCTGCCACTCCCTTACAGTTTGCAGGTTTGCGCAGGGCCTCACCTCAGTGGATCTAGTTGAGATATAAACAAATGAGTGTGGAGTTGGGCTTGATAATACGAAGGTCAAGATGTCAACATTTCCCCTCCCTTTTGCTCTCAGTGGCTGCAGGCAGGGTTGAGTCATCTTGTATAATAAACTTCTTTTTTCAACTCATGTCCCAGAGCATGGCAACATACTTATTACTCAAGGCCAGGGTTGGTTCCTATAGGAATTGTGATAAATAAGAGGAAGCCCATGATGTACACAGGAAAAATCTGCAAGAATCCATGATTCATGTTATCTGTCACAGCGATAAAGAAAACATAGCCCTACTGCAGGTGCAACTATGCTCCTTTCTCTGGAAAATAAGCACAGCTCATCACGATTTTTATAACTGTGTAGGATATTAAAAAAATCATTTTGCCCTTTGTCACTCCCTGTTAACCACTAGTTTTCCTGCAGTATATTCAGTGTTTTTTTCTAAAAAATACGTTTAGGGGGACTCTCATTTTCCTACTCATATTGAAATACTGCCCTTCAATGAGACCAAACTTAGATTCACAAAATGTTTAGGGGTATGCATACTCCTGCATCCCCCCAGAAAAAAGCACCGAGTAGATTTAACCAAAACATTTATAAAATGCTCAATATCGAAACTGGATCACATCAAGCATATTTAGACTAGAGATAAAGAGCTGATGAGGGTATGATAGAGACATGGTTGCAAATAAAATCAGATTTGTAATCTTAGAACTTGGAATCATACAAAGAAATGCACTTCTATGCAATGCAATTCAGGACTGCCAAAAGGACACACTCCTTAATGAATGGAATTAGCTATCATAACATGCTCTCCTCTCTTGCTCTCCTTCCACGGTCACAGACAGTCATGTTTCTGAATGACAGTTGCTAGAGACCACAGGAGGGAGGAGTGATCTTGCACTCTGGTCCTGTTGAGAGTTTCCCACAGGCATCTGGGTGGTTACTGTGAAAACAGGATGTTGGACTAGCATACTACGCAACTGTCCCATTTTAAGCATTACATCCTAGCTTCTGATCCCAATCCCGGATGCCCTGTTTTGGCTGCCACGCTCTGACCATGCCAGAAGACAGGACCAAAAGATGCAGATTTTATTCATCTTGCGCTGTGGCACGTGTCAGTTGGAAGTAAAACATAGCTTGCCCCCTCCCCCCCAACCCACATCACCAATCTTCCTCCTTCCACCATGGCTTTCCAGCCAATGTACTTCCGGAAGCCATTACCGCTGCATTTCAAATCTTAGGAAACTTTATACTGTTTCGCTGGTTGCTCATGGAGCTAACCTAACATAAAATGTAACCAGCTCCTATAACCTTAATTTTATAGTAACAAACAATATTTCAAAGGACTTCTGCTTATTATTGGAATTCTGAGACTTTGCTGCACACTAGATTTACAGATAAATGTGCCATGAAAATGAGAGACTTTTTGACTGCTTTGAGGTGTTGTTTTTTCTACAATCAAGCAGTGTATGAAATAAAATAAATTTATGGCATTTAAAAAAAAGAAATCACCCCGAAAAACAAAATGCCTGTTTGATTAAATTCAGAGTTTAATCAAATAAGCCCAATATTTCCCCTCTATCAACTTCAGGCCTCTTCTTGCATTTTTAAAGGCAAGGTTCACAGCTGTCTTCTCTCACAGTTTTCTCTCGGAGGTAAATTCATTAATTATAGCTGCATGTATCTTCAAACACAGGTGTGGCTTGTGAAATTGTACCCATAAGTAAAGATTTATTTCCTCACATGTATATTCTGTTTTCTTTTTTTTCCCATGACTGTGATTGCACTGGCATTCTGCATCAGTTTGGGATATATATATATATGTGCACACAATCAGGTTAATCCAATAATTCCTTGCAGGCACAGAACTTCCATCGCTCATACAAATCTTCCACCCACAAGCGTTTTCCCATACGCTTTAGTAGAGGGGGGCAGTTCTGTGCATACATCCCTTTGCTTTCCCACTACATCTCATTAACCTACTTACAGACCTGTTTTGCACAATGTCTTCTTCTTCTTCTTCTTCTTCTTCTTCTTCTTCTTCTCTCTCTCTCTCTCTCTCTCTCTCTTACTGCAAAACATACAACTGTAAAGAATTAAATGTGGTCTACTATGAATGGTGTTCACACAAGCTATACCACTGGCGGGAAACCCGCAACCATCAAGATGCGGCTGGACCACATCTCCCATAATCCTTGCCTACAAACGATGCTGGCTAGAGGTGATGGAAGGGTCGGGTGGCACCTGGAGAGCCATAGATTCCCCATTCCTGAGCCACATTTCTAGAGTAAAGGAGAACTCCTGCATCTTGTGCAAGAGGGAAGTCATGTGAAGATCTATGTATGTTCCCAGAGCAGAAGCCACTCATGTACCTCTCGGCAGGCAGAGCAAGCAAGTTGTCCCTTCGGCTGACATCACACTGGAAAGGGACAAGCTTTGCATGCAGATAAATGTTTGATCCCAGGCAATTCTTGTCAAAGGTGTCGTGCAAAAGGTGGTGGCAAAGAACTCTGTCAAGCACCTGGAGAGACACTTCCAGTGAGATTGGCAATGCTAGGCTAGAGACGGAGAAATAGTTTGATGTGGTAGAATGAAGCTTCCTTTCATAGAATCACAGAATTGTAGAGCTGGAAGGGACCACAAGGGTCATTTAGTTCATCCCCCTGTGATGCAGGAATCTCAGCTAAAGCATCCATGACGGCCAACCTCTGTAATCCTTTGTTTACAAAGAGAACTGTTCATAATGAATTGTGTCATACTTTTAAACCATCTTCATCCCATGTGACGCTATGCACCACTTTTATCTATTAGACTCTCCCTTCTGTGTTAGATCTGTTTTCCATAGGAAACTGCCTTATGTCAGGGCAGTCTATTTGTCCACCTCACTCAGAACTGTCTGCTCTGAGTTCATTCTGTTCATATATATATATATATATATTGTTTAGTTGTTTAGTCATGTCCAACTCTTAGTGACCCCATGGACCAGAGCACGCCAGGCACTCCTCCTGCAGTTTGGTCAAACTCATGCTGGTGGCTTCGAGAAAACTGTCCAACCATCTCATCCTCTGTCATCCCCTTCTCCTTGTGCCTTCCATCTTTCCCAACATCAGGGTCTTTTCCAGGGAGTCTTCTCTTCTCATGAGGTGGCCAAAGTATTGGAGCCTCAACTTCAGGATCTGTCCTCCCAGTGAGCACTCAGGACTGATTTCCTTAAGAATGGATATATATAGATACATATATATAAAATAAAGCACATTAAATATGGCCATGCTCAGATTCTGCTCAGTATCCTGCCAATGCACCAAAATCTGAGAAGTTTCACCCAGAAATAGAAGTTATTTCCACAAGTAATTGGCCAATTTCCAAGCTGTTAGGAAGATTGTTACCTAGCACCACTGGTGTATCCCCATAGTGAAGGGTGCTGTAGACATTACTTTATGAGCACATTCCCTAAGAAATCCTGGGCAAAGCCTCAAAGGATACCAATGATTCAGAATAATCTATGCATGTGTGCCATTAACCGCTAAATTTGTCAGTGCCTTGCACGCTATAATGACTTAGCGATCTTTGCATGTTTTCTAATTACTGCAGCCCCTTCTTGCTCTTAAAATTATGCCTTCATGTTCTATGTAATTACCCTAAAGGGGTGAGATCAGAAGTTATGCGTCACCTGCAAGATTAAAAAACAAAAACATGTATTTTATTCTTTCTCCCTTTCATTCTCTACCTATATTGGCCAACTAATCATATCAATAAAAGTACCTCTTGCTTTTCAACTTGCAGGTGATAATTTGGGCATTTTCCAGAGACAGTTACTAAAGGTTGAACCTGTTTGTACTGAAATGATTGCTTCAAATGTAATTCCACTTGTGTCTTGCTCCTTAAATGTCACACTGCAGTGCCCCCTGCTGGTGGAGATATCCTAAAGTTTGAACAAAAATCATTGGAGTTGCTTGTGCTTTTTAGCGATGCTCTTCTCACAGCAAGAAACATAATATTTTGCAACAATCTTAATCTCATAGTTTTTCTTATCCCAGCACTTTGGGAAATCACACAATTTCTCTTCTTGAAAAAGACAAAATTGGTGCCTGTGCAGGAATGCTGTCTTGCCAGCCGTCAACTATATCCCAAATTGGAGCTCTGTTGCTTAAGCGTTTCATAGAATTGTAGAACTGCAGACTTGGATAGGACCCTGAGGGTCATCTAATCCAACCCCCAGCAATGCAGGGGTCTCAACTAAATGGCCATCTAAGCTCTCCAAGAGGAGGAGTTTGGATTTGATATCCCGCTTTATCACTACCCTTAGGAGTCTCAAAGTGGCTAACAGTCTCCTTTCCCTTCCTCCCCCACAACAAACACTCTGTGAGGTGAGTGAGGCTGAGAGACTTCAAAGAAGTGTGACTGGCCCAAGGTCACCCAGCAGCTGCATGTGGAGGAGCAGGGAAGCGAACCCAGTTCACCAGATTACGAGTCTACCGCTTTAACCACTATACCACACTGGCTCTCCAAGGAAGGAGATTCCAGGTCCTTTAATTGTAGGTGTCGAGGCCTGTGCTCTACTAGTAAACTGCAGTCTCTCCCCCCACCCCAAATGTTTGGAGGAGCCAGGGTCACCTCCCTCCCAGGAGTGGTTAAAAGCAGCTTCAGTCAGACCTCATACTTGTGAGATCCTCAATATCCAAGCACAACCATGGCAAGAGAGCAATCCCCAGGCTCTCACCTCTCACAGGCCTTCTGGTTCGCCAGAAGCAACTTAGTCATGCTGGCCACATGACCCGGAAAAACTGTCTGCGGACAAACACCAGCTCCCTTGGTCTATAGCGTGTGCAACCCCAGAGTCGTCCGCAACTGGACCTAACGGTCAGCGGTACCTTTACTTTTTTATGCCTTCTGGACTCCTAGGTCAGCAGGCTTGTGTTTCTTCAGGTTATCTACAGTCCTGACACTTCTCTTTCTTTAGAAATGAAATGCTGCTTGCTGAGCCTACAGGATCTGAAACAGCGTGCCAGAGAAAGCAGGTGTGGCATATTTATTTTTATCTTTTGATGGTGCACTTAATTATTGCTGATTTGTAAGTGGGAACTTTTTGATACACACCAGCATAAGCCAATGGTACTTTTTTTTCTGCCAGAAACTCTTTTACAATTGTTTGCTATACCTCATAGAGATCAAACAGGCATGGTTATGAGTGGAAATTTTGAAACTGTGCCAGATTCATTAAAAAGGATACTGGCTCATGAGTAGGGGTTGCTTTTGGGTTCAGAGGGTGTTTTCTCTCTCCCTCCCCCCCTTTTTTTTAATTTGCATTGCAACATTTATTTATTTAAAAACATTTTCCTGCTGTGTCTTGTACATGCAGAAACACCTGTGCTGTTACAGAGCTGACCTACTTATCCAAAAATAATTTTTCCTGTGTGGCTGTAACCACTTAAAAATATGTTATTCCTAGGCGAACTAAATTCATAAGGGAGATATTCCAGATCTTTTAATATACAGGCATATTGGATGGCTTAAGAGACTGGCAACGGGTGGCAATATTTTTTAACCTTTTGTGTTGTCAGTTCAAATACAGTGCATTCAGCATACACTGTACAGATTTCCTCAGTCAAGCTGTGTATATAGGAATAACGTTTGAAAGTGCTTAGCCAGTTTGGTCCATGATTGGAGAATGTATTAGATTTATGCCTAGGACAATGCTTGCCCCATTATGAACTCGTTTGGTGTCTTTGGGTCAGTCAGCCTCAGCTATGCATCTGTCCCATTATTCCTCCAGCTAATGCATCTTTTCCTTTATTTCCCCCCATGTATTGTTGCATCTCAACCAAATGATCCTGTATTTCTTTGTTAGCTTCACTTGCACCTTTCAGATATTTGCACAGTTCCTGTATACCTTGACATAATGCTTTGCATTTTGTCTCCCATTCATCAGCAAAAGTCTTGTATGAATTAGACAACTCAATATGGGTGTTTCGTTCATTGTGGGATCTCTCTTCCATACTAGGTCGCTGCTGTACTTTTGCCTCCTTCACTTCTACTAAAAGATCTGCCACCTGTTTCCGTAGATTTTCATTTGATTTTTTTAGTTCACTGACTTCCTTTTCCATGCAGGACACTTCTTCTTTCTTGTTCTGCAGGTCATACTGAAGACCCACAATTTCACTTCTTTTTTCCCAAGCAAGAACCAGAAGTTCATCTGTTTTTGCCTTCAATTCTGTAGCCAACCGAATGTTCTGATTATGCAAGAATTCTTTTTCATCCTCCCATTTTTTCTCAGAATACTTTATTGATCTCTGTAGCTCATCCAGCTTTAACTGTAGCTCTACCTTTGCAGCACTGGCTACTGTGAGCTCTTCTTTCAGACATTCTACATCTTCTTGAATGCGCTCCGACTCTTGAGCTGGCTTCTCCCCTATGTCTTTGGGCATCTTGGCCTTATCAGCCAATTCCAGGAAGACAGGATCATCCCCTCCGCCAGTGGGCAAAATGCAGGCCTCAACTGGCCTCTTTGGACTACTAATGGCATCTCCCACTTCTGGCATAAATTGGCTCTCAGGCAATCTTCGTTTCTCCAAGATAAACTGCTCTACCTTTGAAACATTCAATGCAAGGCCTGCTTGGGACACTCTCTTCACAGATCCTACCTCCTCATATTCTCTGGCAGCCTGTTTCTCCTTTATTTCCCTTCTAAACATCGCTAATTCATACTTCTTCCTCTGCTCCCGTTCTATCCGTTTCTGATGCTCCATCTCTCTTTGGTTTCTTTTATTGTCCTTCATCATTAATTCCAATTCTTTCTGACTCTCTTTCGTTTTCTTCTTCTGTTCCACTTCCAGACGTGTCATCTCCAGCACCTCCTTTATCCTCCAGTAGTCTATTGAGTCAAGATCCATAGCTTCATCCTTACAAGCCTCTTTTGACCTGGGTGCTTTGTTACACAGCATTCTTTAATTTCTCTCCTCAGACCCAAACAAAGTTGTTGCGCTTGTTCTGCAATCAAATTTTGAAGCATTTCAAGGTGACTCACTGGTTTTATTACACTGTTTCAAAAATCCCACTAACGTGTATCTCACACATTCAAATCTTACAAATTCTCCTCTCAGATACATAACTCTTATATATTAATAACCCATAACTTCAAATCCCACACCGCTGAGGCCAAATTGTGAATCTGCTCTCGAAGATTTAGCTCCTATATATTAGGACCCTACTCTGCTATTAAATTTTGATCCCACTCTCACAGTTTTAACTCCTATATAGCAATATCTCACAGCTTTAGATCCCACCAGGCTGCCAACAAATTGTGACATTTCCTGGGCAAATCTACAAGCTCCTGTCCCCAAGTTCTCACTAAAGTCAGTTCCTCAGCTACTCCTCTAAGTCCAGACTAAAAATACATGAAACTGCCTATTCTACCTTTAAGAACAACTGTCCTAACTCTGTTACATATACTTCAATTATGCCTCTCATCTTGTTCCCCCTTTCCCTCAGACTCTCACAGCCAAATCTCTCTCCTTTCAACTGTCATTTTCCAACCGACTCTCTCTACCTGTCATTCAACTTTAACTCCGCCCACCATTCCATTCCACTTCTCTGCTGTCTGTCCTTATTGCACTCACTCTTCTGTCACAGTCAAGCGTGTGTGGGGCTCATGATGTGTAGCGAGGCCCTAACCAGGAAGGTGCTGCTATCCCGCCATAGAATCCCAACCACCAAAGTCTGAATCCCCACCTGAGTCATGCAGCAGTGCCTCCAGTGCTTTTTGTTTTCCTTAGAAAAATGTTTAGGGGTACTTTCATTTTGACTCAAGAAAATCACCATTTTATAGTTCAAATCAGGGAAAATAAATGCAGTAAATGGGCAAAAGTACAGTCGTACCTCGGGTTAAGAACTTAATTCATTCTGGAGGTCCTTTCTTAACCTGAAACTGTTCTTAACCTGAGGTACCACTTTAGCTAATGGGGCCTCCCGCTGCCGCTGTGCGATTTCTGTTCTCATCCTGAAGCAAAGTTCTTAACCCGAGGTACTATTTCTGGGTTAGTGGAGTCTGTAACCTGAAGCGTCTGTAACCTGAAGCGTCTGTAGCCTGAGGTACCACTGTACAAAGAACATGCTTCTATCGGAGATTCAGGAAACACTGGGAAAGGAAATGAAGCTGCCATCAGAGGTGGTAACAATGAAACTGACCAATCACCATGCTAGATTCCAACTCCTACTTCACACATTAAACGCCCGCTTCTGTCTGAGACTCAGGAAACACTGTGACAGGAAATGAGGCCGCCATCGGGGGTAGCAACAGAACTGACGACTCACCACACAATTCAACAGAACTAACAATTCACTGTGCTAAAGAAGAAACTAAAAAATTTAAAAGTTTTAGTTTCTTCTCCCGTTAGATTCACAAAATGTTTAGGGGTATGTGTCCCCCCAGAAAAAAAGCACTGAGTGCCTATGAAGCAGCAGCAGTGGGTTCCAATTAGATTTCACTGAAAGCCACCACTTCCCCACCAGCAATGGAAGTTGCAAGGAAAGCAGGGGACCTGTGGGGGCACCACCTCTTGGGGTTCTGCTGCCTGAGGTGGCTGCCTCAGCCTGCCTCATGGCCAGGGCAGCCCTGGTCTCAGCAAACAAAGGAATTGAGGAGGGGGTGAGATCCAAATGAAGAGATATGGAACACTGCTGTGCAATCATACCCCAGTTATATTTTAGCCCCCTGCCCAGGGGAGAGGTGGTTTTGGCAAGCAGGTGATGGTAGGCAGGGCTGGTGAGTAAAATGAGCAAGGACACAGCATAATAAATATATATACACTTCCATTTCCAAGAGTGTGAAGGGAAGATGGGGTGGTGCTGCTTTGTCTTTGAAGCTCAGACATCAAGCAACTGAAAATTGGTCAAAACTGTGTGAGTGATGTATTCATCACCAATATGGCTCATCCTCCGCCCCCCACACTTTCCCCATCACTTTGCTTACTGCAGAAAGTCTTATCTTATGGGGAAGAAACAGCTTTGTTGCGCAAGAGCTCCAAATCAGCTTGAATTGTCTAAGCTGAATTTGCCAGCATGGGATTGAATTCCCACTATCCCTATCCATTCTGATATTGCTGTCCATGTACACATGTACATGGGCACTTGCTAAAGCTGGTCGGGAACTGAGCCAAAAGGGAGAAGGTGCTATTTTGTATTGCAAATGTGCGCCGCTGCATTTCTGAGGGACACCTGAAAGGCTGCCAACAACGTATTTGACTTGTGCATTCCTTAAGCCCCTCGCACTGAAGGAACAAGTGCTCCCTTTCACATGTGATGTATTTTGAGACAAAAGGTTTCTTTAAGATGTCCCCCCCCCCCCCCGCAAGCCTTCAGGCTCCTCCTGATCCTTTTTCAAATTACAGAGATGATGGTATACCAGGGAGAATTGTGATTAGTCTAAACTCTCCACAGCTGCGAGGGATGGATGTAAAAATTCCACTTGAGGATCCACAACTTCTGGACTCAATTTACCTACATGACACCACGACCTAAACCAAGGGAGTGCTTGAAAAAGACTTGGAGAGGCATCAGGGCTATTCAGTTTCTTCCATAGCATCAGCCACTGAGGGGCTCACAACCGCCCTGCCCAACACGTCTGTCATTATAGGGCAGTGATATTATAGGAGCCTTGAGAGGTGGAGGAAGGGGAACGGAACAACAATATAAAAAGCTCCAAGTACAAGAGAATCTAAAGAGGGCTTGCAATTCATTACTTATGGTACCAAGAGGATTATAAAACACCTTGTAACTGAAAGGCTTCGCCTGTAGCTGTTAAGGACTGCAGGCTTTGCTTTTTCTTTTTAAAGAAAAAAAGGAGTCTGACGAATGTTGAGCGATCTTGGCAGGAGAAATCCAGCAATAGGTTTTCTGTCATTCCGCTTAGAAGAGACAATGATTCTTAGTTCAGAGGGGCTCTTCTGATTGTTTCCTTGGGTTACCAATCAAACACAACATAACAGAGCATTCCCTCCCTGTCACTTTTATGAATGAATAGAAAGAGACAATAGTGGCCACATGCCAAGGACTTTGAACACAAGGCACACCAAACAGCATTTTATACCTATACACATTTGGAATATTTCATGGTACCTGTGCAGGCCCAAAGAATAATAGTTATTATAAGGCTGATAAAATTCAAGAGAGGAGAATACACGTTTCTTAATTACACTTCCTGCATAAAATGTGAAGCTGCACTGGTTTGCAAAGTGGATGGATAGACAGAAAGATAGATATGTAATATATATAAAGAAAAATGGTAAGAGTAACAAACATGGAGGTAGTTTGAGCTGATTTGTTCCTCATAAACTATTTGCTCCATCATCATAGCTTAATAAACAAATTAATTAAAGTGTAGAGAGAGAGAAATATGTGGCCCTACTATTCAATAGTTGACCACCTTTCTATAAATTGGTCATTCTTAGTGTTGTATATTTTTAGTCCTGGAATGGAATATAAATTTAAGTCAACAGGGCAACTATATGTCATTTGCCCTGCTAGCAAGGTAGGTGGTGCTGTTGCTTGTTGTTGTTGTATATTTCATAGAATCATAAAATCGTAGAATTGTAGAGCTGGAAGGAATCCTAAGGGTCATCTAGTCCAACCCCCTGCCGGGCAGGAATGAGAAAGAGCAGAGGAGGCCATTTTGAACCCACAACCGCTCAGCTACATTGTTTTATTTTGTATCAAAACAGGAGTGCTCTTATTTTAAAAGAAGACATCACAGAGTTGCAAATGCACAGGGATTAAAAAACTGTGGCCTCCCAGATGTTGTCAGACTCCAAGTCCCTAATACCACTTCAGTGGCATTTGCAAATAGTTGTACCCCCATAGTTGATTGATACAAATAAAGATGGATTCACATAGAACCTGGGTTTGAAAGGCATACATATTACAGCCATCTTAGTCCTATAGTAACTTCCAGGAGAAAATTCTATGCACCCTTGCAATCTTACAGACCTGCCTACTCACGTCCCACGGGCATCAGTGGGGCTTAGTCCCAGATAAGGTTGCATAGGGCTGCAGCCTTGGAAAGTAAGTTCCATTGAGTACAACGAGGCTTACTTCCGAGTAAGCATTAGAAGATGCTCTGTGGCCCAAACAAGAGAAAGAAAACGTAGGAGACTGTCATATGACAGCAGGGAGAACAACTGCGATTCGGTACAGAATAAAAAAAAGGGGGTGGCGCTTGTCGTAAAACAAAAGACCAAACAAACATGTATCAATTCGAAAGAGCAATTTTTTTTACAAAAAAATGCCCATTGTAAAGCTATTTGGGGAATAAATTTATAACTGCCCTTGTTGGAAAGCCAAACCCCAGTGCTCTCTGTTGCACGGTGCATCCTTATAGATGTCTGCCAAAATGTTTATGATATTTTAACTGTGCTTAATCTTGTTAAATCATTTTAGGCGGTTGTGGCGGCGAAGCAGCCTAACAGGAGACATTGCACAGGCAGACGTTGCATTCCAAAGTGAGCTCAGTTGTTGTGCAAGAGGCAACACGTATGTTCTGTAGTCGTGGCCGAGTGGTTAAGGCGATGGACTAGAAATCCATTGGGGTCTCCCCGCGCAGGTTCGAATCCTGCCGACTACGTGCGAGACAAAAAAAATAAATTTTGTCTACGTGCTTCGTGAATGTGACGTTCTGCTTTTAACTTTCAATCCCAGACTTTAATGAATAGGTTTTGTTTATTTATTTAACCATTCTCCGCGGCGGCTTAGACGCGGGGGCGGAGGGGGCGGGGAGCGCCTGCCCTCGCCCTTCTTCCCCCCCCCCCGCTGCTACCATGGCAACGAGGGGAAGGGGGGTGAGAGACGTGAAGAGAGACTAAGATGGCGGACGACCTGGATGAGCTGCTGGACGAGGTAGAGAACAAGTTCTGCCGCCTCTCGAGGCGAGACTGTTCGGAGCGAGGCCGGCCGGGCCAGGGGCGGAAAAGGAACCGCTTCCGCGAGGAGGAAGAAGAGGCCGAAGCCGAGGCTGCCGCGGCTGGGGAGAGGGCCAGGTGAGCACTGCGCATGCTCGCGCCTTCCTCCTCCTGCTCTCCCCCGCCCCTCCGAGATGCCCCTAAAGGGGAGCGCAGTTTCAAAGAGAAGTATTAACGACACTTCCGGTTCCCAGTTAGCGTGTAGAGCAAACTTCAGAAAGCTCCGAAGCCTTTAAAAATAAAATCCCTCATTTTCTAAGCGTGTTTAGGTTGCACTCACCAAGCGAAGTTACTATGAAAGTAGCCCAATTGAATTAAGTGATACTTCGAGTAAGCATGCAACCGTTTGCGCATCTCAGGCTTTTCCCACCTTCCACCCATCCAGCCTTTGGGCAACCCACGCAGAGAAAAAGAAGAAAATACAGCAAGGGCACCAAAGAAGTGCTTCGGCGGAAGATGCCTTTCCCTTGCCTTGTTTCTTGTGCGTGATGATGATACTCCTGGCCCGCACAGGAGCGTGTTCGAGCGGAAACCAGAAATGAGGGTTGTGCGCGACTCTTCCGCGTATTCTACCTCTGTGGGTGCCGCTTAGTCTCTCCGTTCTACTACTCCCTCCCTCGTTTCCAGGCGACGTGACGCGCGACCACCCAGCTGTTACTGCTGCCAGATTCTTAGCTTGCATGAACACACCAGCGTTTCCCAATCCCTTCAGACTATCCCCATCTCTGCATCTTTTTAACATTCTCCAACACCCCCTCTGGCTTATCTTCCAGACAGTTTACCCCTCTTCCCCTTCCACCAACTGCTCCACTGAATTATGTCAAACCCAGGAAACATGAATCTCAAGCCACAGTTGCAGACCACAGTCTGTGCATTTATTTATTTTATTTCATAAAACTTAGGCACTGCAAACAAACTAACCAACAGCGCGGTTTACAGAAGATAAAACAGTAAAATAAAATATTTTAAAAATCACAACCCCGCTTCAAAACACGCAAAAGTTAAAATACTAAAACAGCTTAAAATTACCTCAGCTTTCTAAGCATCTGGGCAGGCTTGCATAAGTAGCAAGTATCATGGATGAACAATCTTTGCTTCCTCTCACCTTTGTGGGAAACTGTTTGGCCACTGTGCACACTGCGGATACTTGGAGACAAAACATGTCGTTTTCACATGTGACAACTGCCACAGGGGTTTTAAGTGTTTGAAGCGGCTTTCCTCATGCTTTGGCCAGCATCTTCTAAATAAACTTACCAAAGGATGCTCCTCTTCCATTTCTTTCCAGATTTTCCAAAGTATTGACAAAAGGTGCTAGTGAAGAAGAAGACATAGATGACATAATTAAAGATATCATCGATGAAAACAGCTATGCCAAAAATCTTGTGGTAGGTCAAGACAAAGCAACCTCTGAGAAAAGGGAAAGTTGGGGGTGGGGGTCAGTCAGAACCTTTGAAGAAGAAAGCCAGATGAAAAAGGAAAGTGGTGAAAGTCTAGAGTAAGAATAGACAACCTTCCCCTGCAGTCAAGGCCGGGGTTCCCTCAGGAGTAATCCGTCAGGGCTGTATGGTCGTGGTGGGCAGAACCAAAGCCAAGGAAGCAGAGAAAAAGTGTTCTGGATTCCCTAATCTGGAATAAAGCTAACACTGCTTCAGTTGTCACATCAGATTAGAATTTGTAGTCCTACGCATCAGCCAGAGCCATTTACTCCAGTCCAAAACCCAAAGTTCACATTAAGAGAATGGGTACATCCTTACTGGAGGAAGGAAAATACTGCCTGACTGATGGAGCAGTGTGGTTCCCCATGTATCCTTGCTGCAGCTGACTGCGGAAATGGGAGCCATTTGTGAAGCCCTCATGTTGTTTGCTGCTTTTCTACCCTCTTGTATTCCTCCTCTTCGAGTAGACTTCTGGTCCTTGTTATTTGGAAACAAAAGCAGGAAAGCTTTTCCGTGCTGCTGGTTTGTGTTAAGAGGTCCCCATCTCTCTCTCTCTCTTTATTAGAAACATAAATCTAAGTCACCTAGCCCTGCATCTGAAAACAGAACTACCTCCATTCAAGCTCATGGTAAGAGGTAGGTAAAAATAACATGAGTGAGTAAATGCTTTGAACAGTAAACAGCTAATTTCAACTTAACTCTATTGACAGTAAACAAAAGAATGCATGGGTTGGATCAAGTGACTTAGTTGCACTAAGGCGGCAAGCCTGTACACACTTACCTGAGAGTAAGTCCTATTGAACTCAGTGGGATTTACTTTTTGCCGTTAGTTCTCATTGAAATCAATGGGACTTGTGTTATTTACATTGCACCATTGGGTAGGTCACTGCCCCAAAGAGCTTACAATCTAAATTTCAGGATAAGCAAAACAACAGTGGAAGGTAAGGCAGGGGCAAATTGGAAGAACGGTATGGCTATTTCATTTACATGTGCATAGGTTTAGGCTGCAATCTAATGCCAGGTTATCGGAGACTAAGCCCCACCGAACACAAGGGTACTTCCATATAGCTATTTCTAGAATATCACTGTTCATCAGAAGCTAACTATATATGTTTTCTCAGAAGTAAATTTGTCTATGTTCAACATGGGAACGAGAAAGTTCTGCCAAAAGACCCATATAGGGTACGTGTATTTTGAGGGTGGATTAGAAGGACGAGTCTTACCCAGGGCACAGTTTCAAACTGCAGTGGTACCTCGGGTTACAGACGCTTCAGGTTACAGACTCCGCTAAACCAGAAATAGTACCTCCAGTTAAGAACTTTGCTTCAGGATGAGAACAGAAATCATGTGGTGGCAGCGGGAGGCCCCATTAGCTAAAGTGGTACCTCAGGTTAAGAACAGTTTCGGGTTAAGAATGGACCTCTGGAACAAATTAAGTTCTTAACCTGAGGTACCACCGTACAGGACAGCAAGGAAGAAAGGGCAGATTCATTTGAATCATTGCTAACTTTTCACTTTGATTTCAATGGCACCTAAGTGCAACTAGCATAGCATGGATCAAACCCTATGTTTTCAGTGGACAGAATTTTATTGCTGTGTTGCATTATTGCTGGTTAGGGCAGCCAGATGCAAAAGAGAAGAGGGCTCCTACATCTTTAATAGCTGTGCAGAAGATGGAATTTCAGCATGTGTGTTTGGCAAGCTATGCTCTCCTCTTTAGCCTCTGGTCTCCCTAACGCTGGCAGTTTTGTGAGTATGTGGGAGCACCAGTTGATGCTTATGAAGAAATGGTAGTAGAAGAAAGTGTTTGGTAGAAACCCTGCAGGTTCTGGAGTATTTCCCTTCCAGTTGGGGTTTTTTGCCCCCAAGATACATATATCATGCAGATAATAATATTGCCATTTCTTCTGAATTGTCCTGCCTTATAGTTCTACAAACAAAAGGTTTGCTGAAAAGGTACACATGCTCACTAGCGTAATGACACCTGAGAAATCAAACGATGCAAACTTTGCAGGCAAATGGTTTAAGGTGGGGTTTTTTCTTCTTCTTCTTCAAAACTATTTCAAGGCTTTCCAATTTAATTCTTATAGATGTTGCCCTGTATACCTTGGTGGAAGCAGCGCGCCACATGGTATAGGAACAAATATTTCTCAGAGGTAGGCATTTAAAATAAATAAATACTGGCAATTGCATTATGAGACCTTCATGTTTCTCTTACTGCTATATTAGGAAGGAACATACTATAAGCTGCTGCTTTATACTGAATCAGACTGTTGGTCCATCTGGCATAGTATTGTCTACACGGACTGGCAGCAACCCTCTGGCATTTCAGACAGAGGCATTTCTCAGTCCTTCTTGGAGATGGCTGGGACTGAACCTGGGAGCTTTTGCACCATCTGTGACCCTCTCCACCCCCACCCAAGCTGCTGCACACAGTTATCTCAGCCTGTGGTCTGGTAGCCACAAGGAGTCAGTCTGAGTTCACTGTTCAGCTCATCAGCCAGTGGCAAGGCAGGTGAGAAAAGCTCCCAGCACATGCAGGATTCAACCCATGTTTGTTTAGATTTCTGTATACCACTAGCATTTGTCTACTTGCTTACCCATGTTAAAGAAGCATATGAATCAGAAACACAGAGGATCTTGGATATATGTTCACATAGTTTCGCAGACATGATCCTCTTGCGAGGAGGGAAGTGGTGAGAGATCAGCTGTGATGTGCCATATAGGTCAGTTGCCATAAGGATTTTTCCTAGGCTAACTTCTTCCTGTAAAATGGAGGCACCCAAGCTTTTACCCATATATAGAAATAAGAGTGAAAATTGAATTAATAACTACCAGAGTTGCAGCCTTTAATCAACTGAGGTTTTATCTTACTGAATGGTAAGAACCGATTTTAATTAGTGGAGGTTAATTTTAAACAGTAGCACTGAAAGCTTACAGTGTAACCGTTCTGTTTAAAGTTCAGTCTAGTTCTGGTGTGTTAGGATAGGAAATGTGAAACAGAATATTCCTTTCCTTTTAACAGCTGTTTATTAAATTGTGAGTTTTTTCACACTTCTGTCAAGATTTAAGAAATGCACCTATTATGAGATTGGATAATATGAACAAGTTTAATAAGTTAAGAAATTAGTTCATTGAACTGTTCCATGTGTTTAATCTATAATGTTTGTAATCTTTTTTGGACAGAACCTGTGATCAGCTGCGGTGTACTGCATGTGACTTCCGCGTTTTGCAATACGATGACTTTCAGTGGGATCAGTCATGTGATTACCTCTTTTTCAGGTATGCTTTGCGGGTAATATTGATAGGAATATTTGATGTGACCTATATGGTAGTGGGGTATCATATAAATGCTGTGGTCCGTAAATGTTCTGATATCAACTTTACAGAATTGCAGGTGTGGATATTTCAGTACATAGATTGGGGGAAAGCCTATAGCAGAAAGACCCAAAGGCTTTCATTTCAGTGACAAGGGTAGAGTGTCTTTGTCTTGCTTCTACACTGTGGCTAATTGGGCAATGATTGGCTGTGTAGTTCTGAGGGAGTTGGTTTATTATTATTATTATTATTATTATTATCCCATCCATCTGACTGAGTTGCCCCAGCCAGTCCAACAAATGTAAAAGCATAATAAAACAAGAATGCTGTTGAAATAGAATATTTTTGATTGGTAGGAATAACATGCCTGAATTCCGCAAGTTGAGGACGAAGATGCTAACCAAGAAAGGATCGAGGGCCTATGCTTGTCAGTGCACTTGGAGATCAATAGATGAATTAACAGACCTCACTGTGGATCGACAGCTCCGCTGGGTTTGCAGCAAACACGTCGAATGAAGTTGTCTTTGTCATCCACATGCTCATTTCTGTATGAAGACCATCTGTTCACTGCTCGGCATCACGAGTGATGAATTGAGTGTGTTCCGTGTACACTTAGATCTTGATAATCCAAATACAAACCGTGGACTTTGCCTTGTCTGCAATTCCCTTGTGAACTAATGGAACTGGGGGGGCACAGTAAGCCGGAGACCTTCCTCAGCCTAGAGGACCAGGCTGGCAGAACTGTTGAGTACTTCCAGTGTAGCAGGAAGTGAAGCTGAAAGGAAACAAGGTCTGGGTCCTAGAAGGCATCCCACAAATGTAGAAGCGAGAGAGACATCTGAAAAGAAAGAGAAATCTGCCTCAGCTAATACTTGGGTTAGAACACTTTTTGAATATGCGTGTGGGATATTTTGGCTTTGGCTTTTTACCTGCACATGTGTATGCAGTGAGCCAATCTTCAAATTAATATCATTTCGGAGTTGTTTTAGCAGGATGCTGAAGCTTGCTTTCAGAGCAAGAGCAAATAGCTTGGACAGTCCAGCAATGGAAAGGAAAATGACACGACAGCTCCAGCATTTTAATAAGCTCATTTCTAATTGTGAGGCAGGTCCTTAGACTGCAGTCTTTATGCACGTCATCCCAGGAATCAGCCCCACTGGACACAGTACTTGCTTCTAAGTAAACATAACCAGAGTTGAGCTAGGGTGGATCTTTTTCCACTCCCTTAAGTCTGCAATCCTGTGCACACTCACTTGGAACAAAGTCCCACTGAATTCAGTAGGACTTACTTCTGAGTAGAATGCATTGGATTGAGCCACTCAAAGCTGTTCATGTAAATGATATTGCGATGGAGCCTAAACAATTTTTTTGCAATGATATTCAAAATCAATGTATTTTTTTGCGGGGGACAAGGTAAACATCCTATTAGGTGTAGGATTATTCCACCTTCACTGACACTCTGCAAGTTTTAAGTTCTCAGAAAACTGTTCTTAGATGTCTATTTCAGTTGTCTTTTGAGACTTTCAGTGCATCCACATTCTATGTTTTAATCTTTGTATCGGAATACCAAATATAATCAAAGCGGTTCAGAACTCTTGCATCCCCATTTCCATCTTAAAAAAAGAATTGAGCCCAGTGTTAGTCAGACCCAGAGTGGATATATTGAAATGAACTGGACTTGCATAACTGAATTCCCTTGATTTCAGTGGGCCTGCTCAGAGGATGACTTAGCAGGGTTGTATGATTTTGAGTTGTATGATTTAGCTGATCCTGAATTATTTTCTCAACCAACACATGTAGCACTATTCCAGGAGTTTTTTCTGTAGCACTGAAAGTTTAAAAGCGCATTGAAGCGTAAACAATTGTAGCAAGCAAGTGGTACTCAGAATGTGGGAAACAATAGCACATTTGGGGAAAAATTGTTGCTCAAAACACATCATCCTATGCAAGGAATTTCTTTTAGACCATGTAATCTGTTTAGAATCAGAGTATAAATAACTTGGATATACTTTCTTTTAAACGAAAATATGGAATCTAAAAGTCCACAAGGCAGAAATCGTTCACTCTAATTTCTCTGTAATGCTAGAGTCATTAAAAGTTGTATTCTTGGCATATCTGAGTACGTTGGTTAAATTTCATATGTTAATTGCCTGTTGTATTTGTTCTTTTTGGCCCCCATGGGCCAACACATGCCTGAAATGTTAAATACATGCATAGTTTGGTATTTATGAAATAAGGAATGTGAAACCCACTGAATAATTAGTAAACAGCACTATATAAATACTGATGATGATGATGATGATGATGATGATTATCATTATTATTGAGAGATGGGGTTGGGAGTGAATATAAATATTGGTTACTGATGGGAGGCAGGGTTTGGTGTGACTGATCCTAGCCAGATATAGCTGGCTGGACCTAAGGTGTTTTTAGACTAGGAATGAGAAGTCCAAATGTTGGACTCCCAACTCCCATCAGCCTAGCCAACAGTCAGGAAAGTTGGGAGATGTAGTCCAACAACATCTGGAGGGCATCCCTGACTTAGACAGTGGTTGACACAGCAAACACCACTAGATTCTATCATCTTTAAGAGCTAGTTCTGTGCAGTGTAAGCCAGGAGGTTCCTCAGATACAAATTCACTAGGTGACCTTAGACACAGCACTGGTCCTACACGCACACCATCTGCAGTATGTGGAGAACAGCACAGACCAGTCTTATCAGGTTACTGTTGGAATTACTGAACTATTGTGCTTGAAGAACTTCAAAAGCCTAAAAGGTGCTATATACACTGTTGACCTGTGCCTCAGTGTGTTACAAACAAGTACAGCAATTTGACTTCTTAAACAAGACTTCAACTTGGGGGGTGGGAGGGAATTAAAGAAAAGGATCTGATCTGGACTTGGATTGTAGATGAAATAGAAACAGTAATTGGCAATTTAAAGTATTTCAGACTATATCTGAAAGATTTTATATATTAGACATTTTACACAGCACAAGACATTAAGTATCATATATTTAGGTGCCCATAAAGTGTTTTATAGGGGGGCACCTAAATATATGATATTTATTTAACTTATATGCAGAATTCATCATGCGAAAGGCTGGGCTGGACGAATCCCAAGCTGGAATTAAGATTGCCAGAAGAAATATCAACAACCTCAGATATGCAGATGACACAACCTTGATGGCAGAAAGTGAGGAGGAATTAAAGAACCTTTTAATGAGGGTGAAAGAGGAGAGTGCAAAATATGGTCTGAAGCTCAGCATCAAAAAAAACGAAGATCATGGCCACTGGTCCCATCACCTCCTGGCAAATAGAAGGGGAAGAAATGGAGGCAGTGAGAGATTTTACTTTCTTGGGATCCATGATCACTGCAGATGGTAACAGCAGTCACGAAATTAAAAGACGCCTGCTCCTTGGGAGAAAGGCGATGGCAAACCTAGACAGCATCTTAAAAAGTAGAGACATCACCTTACCAACAAAGGTCCGTATAGTTAAAGCCATGGTTTTCCCAGTAGTGATGTATGGAAGTGAGAGCTGGACCATAAAGAAGGCTGATCGCCGAAGAATTGATGCTTTTGAATTATGGTGCTGGAGGAGACTCTTGAGAGTCCCATGGACTGCAAGAAGATCAAATGTATCCATTCTTAAGGAAATCAGTCCTGAGTGCTCACTGGAAGGACAGATCGTGAAGCTGAGGCTCCAATACTTTGGCCACCTCATGAGAAGAGAAGTCTCCCTGGAAAAGACCCTGATGTTGGGAAAGATGGAGGGCACAAGAAGAAGGGGACGACAGAGAACGAGATGGTTGGACAGTGTTCTCGAAGCCACAAACATGAGTCTGACCAAACTGTGGGAGGCAGTGGAAGACAGGAGTGCCTGGCGTGCTCTGGTCCATGGGGTCACGAAGAGTCGGACACGACTAAACAACTAAACAACAACAACAACCAAGTGTTTTATCATCTTCATTGGTCCTTTTCAATTTGTGTCTTGGAAAGAATAAATTTTGGTAAATATTCTACACAGGTAATCAGAGCCCTATATTGTCCAATAATGACAAGAGTCCACGTCAACCGATGTGATTGACAGAATTTTAAAACACATAGGGGAACTGAACAGGGGTGTCCCCTTTTCCCTTTGTTATTGGTTCCTTCATTAGAACCATTAGCTGAAACCCTTCGTAAGAATACAAAAATGTTGAGTGTGTTAATAAATGAACAAGAACATAAAAGAAAGCAAAGTTTGATAACTGAATCTGTGAGGGGTGGTATTCAGAGTAGGATATTATTTGCTTTTCATTTGACTTACCTGGTTGATCTTCTGTTACACGCTGTGTGTGGGTCACTGACGTATTATTCTTTCCTACCTGTATTACTATCTGATAATGGAAGTTGTACTTGATGTTTTGTTTGTTTTTTAAAATTAAAACACACACTATAAATGCAAAGCACAGTATTATCCCCTGCAGTCCTGTAGTTTTCATTCTCTCAATAATGTTGGCAGCTCAGGTCTCTGAAACCTGCAGGATTTAGGGGCTAAGTGGGCATGGACAGAGTTGATTATTTGGTTCTGAGCCATCTGTTGGGAAAGCGGTTGACCTACATAGGCAGTCTGAAGGGAGGGCTTCACAATGCCATGTTTGAAGCCAAATAGGATTCTCTCCCCCCTCAGAGTTGCTGAAAGGGGGGCTTATTTACATGAACCCTTTGCTCATGGCGAATGAGATACCTGAACTGTTTGCCATGAGAAAACTCCATGACTGGGATTGCAAAACCTTCCAGCGACTATTCAGGGATAAGAGCATCCAGCTGCAAGGAGGCCAAGTATATGAACTAGCCCCAGGATGATTCACAAAAATATCATCATCCTTTTCCATGTTTTTCCCAGCGCACACTAGCTTTTGGTCAACCCGGCTTTGACTTGTACAAGTTGGTTTGTTGGATGCTTCGAATCAACATTCCTACTGAGAGACCCCGATCACACTTAGAAATTGATGGAACACATTGTTAGCAACGTTAGTCTGTTTCCACTCCTGACTTTTATTTATTATTTTTATTTATTAAATTTCTATACCACCCTTCACCTGAGGATCACAGAGGAGTTTCCAATATACGGAGAATGTATAAGGTAGTCCTATTCAAAATGGGAACCTTAGAGTGTTTTTATAATTTTAATGCCATCTGTGAGTCTGGTACTTTTACAGAGTACAAGAGGATGGGTGTTTGCTCTGAGGAGCTTATAAAAGTCACATCTACACCATACATTTAAAGCTCATTTATACCACTTCTACAGTCATTGCTCCTCACCACCATCGCCCCCAAATCCTGGGAATTGTAGTTTGTCCCCACAGAACTTCTGTTCCTAGCAGCCTTAGCAAACTACCATTCCCAGCCATGTGCTTTAAATGTAACAGGGGAAACAACAGAGGAAGGGAAAGCTGAATGGTTCTTCATAGTTCAGGTTACAGACTCCACTAATCCAGAAATAGTACCTCGGGTTAAGAACTTTGCTTCAAGATGAGAACAGAAATCGAGCGGTGGCAGCGGGAGGCCCCGTTAGCTAAAGTGGTACCTCAGGTTAAGAACAGTTTCAGGTTAAGAACGGACCTCCAGAACGAATTAAGTTCTTAACCCGAGGTACCACTGTACTTTGGTTCTTCTAGTATGATGCTGCTCCTGCCCTGTGCTTTTAGCATTAGCCAGGCACCCAAAATTAAGCTGAACCAAATCAGCATTTTATTTCTATATGAGGAAAAGCCCTTTTAGCAGCTTATTTGGGAGCCTGTAACAGCCCATTCTGCCTTTCATCTGGCTAAAAGCACACATGCTAGATTCTACATTCCAGTCCACTATTTTAACTTCTTAGAAGGTTTTTTTTATGTTCTCAGATCACAAAAAGGAGGATTGCTTGTCCATGTAGTTAAAGTAAACATAGTATTCCTATTCAAAACTGCAGAGGGCAGACTTACACCAAGGTAGGTCTCTTGCATTTGTGTTTATTTGCACAGGAAGTCTTAAGCACGTCTTAAAAGCTGACCCAGAGCTCCTTCAAACCACTCCTCTGGCTATAAACTGAGTAATATGAACCCAAGATATCAAAACCTAGTTTTCTGTATGTTGCATAATGCGTGATAAAAATATGTCAAACAATAGTTCTCCCCTCCCCCCCTTCTCTTTTTGACCTCAGATAGAGGTTCCCACCACCTCCCCCATCTTTCCGTTGAGTAATTTATCAGTTACTGAAGCTGAATGTTGTCAGGAAAGACAAAAGAAAGTATACCTTCACACAGCACATGGTTTATCTCTGGAACTCACCACCACAAGATGTCATCAAACGGATGACTTTGAAACAGCAGGGTAGGCATAAATTAAAAAGAACATCAAGATCAAACACAAAAGGGCAATATGAGGTGGGGGAAAATCACTATTCTTATTTTCCTATGTTAAACTATCCATTTCTTTAAAAAAAACCAGGTTGTTTTCATACAATTAACTGGTGGCAGTTATGATTAAGTGTTTGCAAGCGACAACCTCCAGGAAGCATACAGATTACAGTATTTTCAATCTCATAACTAGGGGGGCGATCCTGTGGTAAAATCGACTGGGCTGAGCAGGTTAGGATGCAGCAGATCTATGTCTTGGTTGGCATTAAGTTCCCAACCCCGGCTTAGCCGAAGAGATGCCACTGTAACTTGCACATTTTGGCTGAGCCAAAGCTGGCCAGTGTAAATTACCAAAAAAGGGGTGTTCCAGGAGTGTGGTGAGGGCAGGACCAGAGAGGGAGAACTTAGTCTGGATCCTAAACCCAGCTCAGTCATGCAACCTGGCAAACCTGCATTAGAACATTATTTAAGGCTTGTTTTCCCTCTGTCAGGCTCAGGCAGAGCAGCAGCAGTAGCTCGGTTGCAGAAGAGGGTTTATGATCTGGTGTGGCTTTATGGTGGCTGAACTTAACACCAGCTTCTTGTGCATAGGATTGCTCCCCCACTTTTTTTTTTTTAAAGGAGGGTGGATATAAATAAGGAGGTAAATTAAAAACGAAATTGTGTGTCACCAACAACTGCTAAATCAGATCTCAGTCAATTTTAGGGAAATTTGAAAACTTACATCCCTACGTAGAATCAAGCTGAGAACACATTGAATCATATATTTATATGATTTATGATTTATATGATATATGATTTATATGGAGCCTTTGGACACAATCCAGCAGAAGCTTACTGAAGACTGCAGTCCTAAACACACTTACTTGGAGTACACCCCACTGGATTAAATGGGACTTCTGAGAAGACATGCATAGAATTGTACTGCAAGTGTAGAATAAGCACTGAAGCATTTCCTTGTGCCATTCTATTTCTCCTAAAAACATAGTTACAGGAGAAACCTGTAATGCAACTTTCTCTGGTGTCATACTACAGAATTGTTTGGAATAAAGGGAATAAGGAAGCATCAGGCACATAACTGTAGGATTGTGGCATTTGTCTTGACTACTTGTGTTTCTTCTCTCTGGGTTCCTCCTGTTAATTTGATTTGCTTGAAAAAAAGCTTACATGGTGTTGTGTCCTGTCTTCAGTGATCATTCATTCTCGTTTGCTCATGGGGTAGTTATATGACAATTAGCCTTCATCCTGATCCTGCTTGGGAGCTGTTTACACAGCTTCCCATTTGTTCATCCTACACTTTTCAATGTATTTTTTCCTGTCACTTTCCAAACTGCAAAAGTCCCCTTTTTAAAAAGAAAAATGGTTTTGATGTGCCAGGGCAAAAGAGCACTTAAATCCATTTCAACTGTGCAAGCCTAAATATCAGGCACGTGCTTGGGTCCCTCCTGCAAAATACTGTCATTCTGGAGGCCACACACACACCAACATGACCCTTTTCAGTGAATGCAGGACTCCTCTTGCATCAAAGGAAACACTTGTTCATATTTGTTAGATCCTCTCCATCTTCGTTGCCTTCCCTAATTCTACACTACTTCTCTGTTTTAAGAGCACAGCACTTTTCAGGGACAGAAATTGTTGAAAGCATTGGTGTTTTTGCTGTAAGGGGTGGGTGCAGGGAACAACTGTGAGGTCTGTCATAATCCAGATGTGCAGGAAGTTACATCCATAAATCTCTGTGCACAATGAGAGGAGAATACAGAATGGATTAGAGCGTGTTTTAAATAATCTCTGCAGCGAACTGTTCAAAAAATAGCATGGTATGTAGACTATTGCTAGACCACCATTGGGGCAGAGAGTACGTTTGTTAAAGTATGCAAAGGACTGATGAAATCACTTGTATTCCACCAGAGCCATTTTGTGAAATTTGGGCATCAAGCCAGAGAGAAGCTGCCACTTTGTCAAAAACAAGGAGAGCTGCAGTGGTACTAGTATGTGTGAGCGAGCTCAGGGCTGCACACTGAAATAAGCCCAATATAATCCCATGGAATTAGTTTTAGTTTACATGAGTGTAACTGAGCACAGAATTTCACTTAAAATCCCATGACAAATCCTATTAACTTCAACAAAAATCCCGGTTAGGCTATGATACCTGTTAGACTTGGGAAGTTTAACAAAGGAAATCTCGTTCTGCAGACTGCAGCTGCATGCTAAGTATTTAAAAGACTCAAGGCACAGCCCATGACACAACTTTGCATAAAATTTGCTTGTGCTTGTTTATATATGCAAATATATGGCAACTTTCAGAGGAGCAAAACAGCAGTTCTTGCTTTTGCTCTCGGGGTGCCAAACTTTTGGGGCCAGAGGCACATTTGTGGACACAACACACATGCAGTCTCTCACACACCACAACCTATTGGCTACAGCAGAATGCTTCTTTCAAGTCTGATTTAACTAGAAGAGGCAAGGTGAGTGACAGTGAAGGCCTCTGTAGGTGCAGGTACACCCACGGGCACCATGTTGGCGACCCCTGCTCTGAGTTATGGGTTGCCAACAGGACTTTATGGTCCCAGGACACTGTAAACAAATTGAGGTAGTAGGTTGAGGTCTTACCTGCATGGTGCTTTGCACTTCTTACAATCACTGTGTCTGTGGTCTTCCGTTTCCTGCACTCTGCTTCCAGCCCATGAACAGTGCAGGATAGCATCTCCCAACTGAAGCCATAACCTGGCACAGGATAAAGCGCACATTACTAGAACCTTGCAGTGCTGTGGCTGCATTGCTGACATTTGATCCTACAATCCTCACCTGCACTTAGCCAGAGAAAGAAAAGGACCATAAACAGGGTTAAGTATGTAAACTAAGCCTATGGATTCCCTCTTCATAGAGCTGCAGCACACATATAATTGCTCCTGTTGTTCTTCAGAGGGACAGAACAATATAGATAAAAACCCTTTGCTGTCGGCAAAATTATTCCCCTCCCTTCTGTTATGCTACTGACTTTGAATGGAGGCTTGTGGGGCCATAATACAGAGGTTGAAAATATGTATTCACTAATTGTCTAGAGACACCCTGTGTTCACATGTCATAGAATCAGAGAACTGTAGAGTTGGGAGGGAACCTGAGGATCATCTTCCTTAACCTCGGGCTCTCCAGATGTTTTTGGCCTACAACTCCCAGGATCCCTTGCTAGCAGGACCAGTGGTCAGGGATGCTGGGAATTGTAGTCTCAAAGCCTCTAGAGGGCCAAGGTTGAGGAAGCCAGATCTAGTCCAACCCCCTACAATGCAGCTGTCCCTTACGGGGATCAAACCTGCAACCTTGGCGTTATCAGCACTACGCTCAAACCAACTGAGCCATTCAGATTTGTCTTACCTCTGCAATTTAAATCACGTTGCATCATACTGTAGCGTTGGTATTTATTCCCACTTCCCCAAATATGAGATGTTTAGGAGCAGCATTGCAGGGTTTCTTTTCTCTTGGATGACAGAGTGCGTTGGTAGCTTCCTAAATCGGTTGTTTACAAATAAATAAGCAGAGCCTATTGGGAGCAAGCAGACTCCTAAGGCAGCGCAATCACTAATCTTGCATGAGGGTCCCACAGAGCACCTGAACCTCAAAGATGCTTCAGCAGAACCAGTTCCATCTAAAAAATGAACGTCTTGTCTCTCACCCCAACAATCACACAGCCAGCTCCCTCCATTTTTCTCTCTCTTTCACACAGGCACACAGGATCTCAGTCTCAGATCTCAGCCGAAAGTAGATTTCCCATTCATCTCCTTGCCACCATATCCTACTGAGGAAGCAATCAATTCCTCACCATCAGTAAGCACTTAGCTTAACAAAGGAAAACCACCCTCTTCCCATCTTGCAGCATGACCTTCCTTGCCCAGATATTCTCCTTCACCATTATTCTCTGATTAATGGGAATGGAATTTGGCCTCGGCCAATGCATGTAGGATCACGTTCTTGTGACCTTGCTGTTTACACACAGAACACTTGACTCTGAACACACCCAAGCTAAGCTATGCAAAATGAGCTTATAAACACATGACCAAAGTTAAGTCAGTTCACTGATTTAGGCCAGTGTTTCCCAGCTGAGTGCTCTCCAGATGTTTTGGTCTACTGCTTGGAGCTTATGGAAGTTGTACTCCAAAACATCTGGAAGACATTCAGTTGGGGCAAGAAACAAACCCACATTGGATCTCCAGCACTGTGAAATGTTGACTTGGGGTGTTTCAATGAGGTTTTTCAGATCATCCTTCTAATTTTCCTTCTCCCCCCACCACCCTCTGCCCTCTGTGTATACAAACTGCTGCAATTTTTTGTTTCTTTGCTGGAGAAGAGAGGTGATTCTACTGCAGGAAGAGTTCAAAATTGCACATTTCAATTGGAACTCTGCAACAATCATAATTACACTCTGAAAGCACACTTAATGGCTAGGCTTTGGGCTCTCTTAAAACCAGACTGATGTCTGTACATGTTGGAAATCTACATAGCAAAAAAAGCAGGTGTGTTAGATCAAAAGAGTCCCTAGAGACAAGGGGCACAAAACAGCCCAATTTAGCAGTAACTATGTTCTGTGGAAATGGAATAAGGTTTGTTGATCTGCTGCTTTCAATGGGACTTTTGGTGGGTTCGTACCAGCCTAGTGGTTGGGCCAAAAGTGGTTTGTTCTATGGTTTAATGGTGGAAAAATCCATGCAACATCATCCCAGGCTTTAAATAAAGTACTGTATTTTTTGCTCTGTAAGACTCACTTTTTCCCTACTAAAAAGTAAGGGGAAATGTGTGTGCGTCTTATGGAGCAAATGCAGGCTGCGCAGCTATCACAGAAGCCAGAACAGCGAGAGGGATTGCTGCTTTCACTGCTCAGCGAACCCTCTTGCTGTTCTGGCTTCTGAGATTCAGAATATTTTTTTTCTTGTTTTCCTCCTCCAAAAACTAGGTGCGCCTTGTGGTCTGGTGCGTCTTATAGAGCGAAAAATACGATACTTTAACCCACTACTATCTTTTTCCTTTGAGATTCTATCCCTCATGGATGTCAAAGATTAATTTCTGGCAGTCCCCAGCAAGCAAATGCTACCTCTCCCATAGCTGTCCTTTATACAGGAGATCCAGTGCTAACCTTTCATTACAAAATGTCAGCTGTTTTCCAGCCCTCCCCTGTAATTTTATGGTTGAAGAGATTAACAGAGAGATGCCTGGTTCCTATCTGGCCACAACAGTTCCATTAAACAAGCTGGTCTTGATCCAGTTGTACTTTGTGGTATATACGAACACCAACCCTGAGTTGAGGATGTTCTTTGCAGTCTGTTATCAAGATTATCATCCAACAGAAACTAAACCAACATAATGACATGAATCGGACCTGAATACATTCCCCTATATGTGCAGATATCCCTTGCTGGATCAAGAAAAGAATACTAACCAAATTAAGCGTGACAGGCAGCACAGAAATTTTGGTGGGTCTATTTTGTCTCCATAAATAGGAAACAACGACTTTTGGGGCCATGGTTAGAGATTCAGACTGAATGGTGTACAGCAGCCACAATATGATGACAGTACAGCAGAAAGTAATTTTTGCACACATTTAAAATTCAGCAACATTTTATAATTCAAAGCTCTCTTCTTGAATTTGCAAAGTTTGCTTTGGAAATCTGTTGTGTTGAATATATTAAGCTGCTTTAGGTGAATCTGAACCATTTGGTCCTACTCTGTCTACTCTGACTGGCAGAGGCTCAGCAGGTATTCCTCTTGTCCCTGATATCTTTTAACTGGAGATGCTGTCAATTAAATCTAATGCAACTGCATATCTATCTATCTATCTATCTATCTATCTATCTATCTATATACACATACCATATTTTTCGCTCTATAGGGCGCACCGGACCATAGGGCGCACCTAGTTTTTTTTTTGGGGGGGGAATAAAGAAAAAAAAATTATTCATCCCGCTGGCTGTCTTGGCTTCCTCTTCAGCCACGCACAACCTCTCCAGCCGGGAGAGGCTGGACGCGACTTTGGCAGAAGCCAAGACAGCTAGCAGAATGTATCCCGCTCGCTGTCTTGGCTTCCTTTTTAGCCACAGGGCTGGAGCGGGGGAAGCCCGAGCTTCCCCTGACCCCAGCCCCCAGAATGGGTCCGGGAGCAGGGGCGAGGTTGCACGCAACCTCGCCTTCGCTCCCAGAGCTTGCTGCTATAGATGCCCAAAGCCCGGGGTGCGCAGAGCTGCGCTCCCCAGGCTTCGGGCTGCAAGCTGCTATCCGCAAGCCTTGGGAACTCCTGCCGCTTTCCGAAGGCTTGTGGATAGCTTCCTGAAGCCTGGAAAGTGAGAGGAGTCGGTGCGCACCAACCCCTCTCGCTCTCCAGGCTTCAGCGAAAGCCTGCATCCGCCCCATAGGACGCACACACATTTCCCCTTCATTTTTGGAGGGGAAAAAGTGTGTCCTATAGAGCGAAAAATACGGTGTGTGTGTGTGTGTATATATATATATATATATATAATCAACACGGCAAAGAGCAGCACAAGAGCTAATTGGTAAGTGGGAAGAGTGCCAGAGAGATGAGGGAGACATCATATATTTTTTTATTAAAAAAAAAACTAAAGCAAAAAGAAACTGAGGGTATGGTTACTACGGAAGTGTGACTAAAAATGTTTTAAGGTAAAAAATAAAATAAAATCGCCTGCACAGATTGTGCTGCATCATATTATAATGTTGCAAAGGGTAACATTTGTACGCTTGTATCCTGAGCCTCTCAAGTCAAAGCCCATGTACCAAAGCTGCAGGAGGCAGAATTCCAGACTGGTAGAAACTCAAACAAGTTGGAAAGTGGCAGAGCATATTCAAGAACTTCTAGGCTTGCTCCTGGCTTGAAATCCCAACCACATTTATTTTTTCCAGAAGGAGGCAGAAACTATATTGATTGCTGAGGAACTATACAAAGCAAGTAGCACACACTTCCTTTTTCATATTTGCTAACTGCAGGGAAATAAAACATATGTCAGCTTGTGCTAGGTTTTTGTTTGGTTGGTGTTTTTTGCAGTCTGGGCTGTTTTGAGATTTTCCTCTTTAAGGAAAATCTGAAAATGAAACAGCTGAGAACAGGAGGATCCCCTTTCGTCCTGTGGCTGTAAGTCGTCCAGAAATCCTCCCAAGATACTTGAGGATGTTAAACCAAGAAAACAAACCCACCCACCCTCCTCTCATCATCTCAGTTTTCAGCTAGGAAACAGTGGGACCCCAATTTGTCATTCTTACAGCAATACAAAACAAAACAAAAACAAGCCCAGCTTGCAAATCGCATTAAACATTGACGCAGATAACTGAAAATTTATCGCTATGGTTCCGTGGCATTCAGGAATGTGGCTAATGTCTCAAAGTGCTTCAGACCCGCAAAGAAAAACAACTTTGAATTCAATGGGCCAGAAAGAAGCAGCTTGTGACCACCCCCTGGATAGAATGGAACATTCCGACTTCCAATCTCCAAAATGTTTTGCTCCCTTTCATGTTCCCTTCTGTCTTTTATAGTAAATACAGGCCGGAGCTCCCTATCTATAGCCCTGAATTTATACACAGATGAACACAGCCTTGTTGCATGGCATGATTTGCATATAATGCTAAACTGTGGTTTATTAAAAAGAGAAATCAGTAAAATAATACTAATGCAAAAATACTGAGCGGCCAGTGGATGAGCTTAAATGGTACCAAGTGTGTAACAGGCCAGCACTCATTTCTGCATTTTGTGCTCTGGGAAGGATTTTCATTTCAAAAGGATGTTTCCAGTAATTGTGGGTGTTTTAAAATAAATAAAAGCCACGAAACTTGAGATGCGTATTAAAAGCCACACGGGGAGAGCTGCCCTATCTTCGAAAGGCTATGATTCTCAGCACCGGTCCTGCCCCTGTTCTCATTTTCATCTTAGCAAAGTCTGATGCAAATTACTACTCTATTAACCACTTCACTTTCAGATGGAAACTTTGGAAAAACAAGAAGGCAAATGCTACACTGCAATTAACTGGAAATTACAGTCTGCAAGGAAGGGGAAGGGATCCTAATACTAGCCACTTAGCTGCACAGTGAAGAAAGAAGCATATGGCTTTAATAAGGAAAACCCTAACAGGATTTTCCATCAGTAGCTGGAGCCGTGCCTGGTACGCAGCACGAGACATACGAACAGACCAGAAGACAGCACAGTCCTTCAATGATGCTAGAAACCTTTCGGAACTACAGGAGTGGAAGACAGATTTAGTTTGTGTGTGTGTTTGTAGCACGCTTAATAATAAAAAAGAAATAGAAGAAATCTCTGCTACTCTTACATTATTTTAGTCAGGTGCAAGGCATCCCATTTTAACACAAGGTGGTGCTGGATGACTCAGGGTTTCTTATTCCATTTAGGAAATTAGTGAGGTTTATTAGACTATCGCACCTAGAATAACCAAAAACAAAGCTTGTCAGGACGCATTTGCCTTAATTGTTACAGAAGGCATTTTAGCAGGCATAATTATAGATTGTTGTCGTTGTTAACTGGAGTTCTTAAACACAATTCACTATGAGCTGGCAGGTGGCCACAATACAAAAATGCAAGATTAAAAATAGTTAACAGTCAGGGCAGGCCCGAAAGATATACACCTATCTGGTGTCTTTAGGTAAAGGTAAAGGGACCCCTGACCATTAGGTCTAGTCGCGGACGACTCTAGGGTTGCGGCACTCATCTTGCTTTATTGGCCGAGGGAGCCGGCGTACAGCTTCCGGGTCATGTGGCCAGCATGACTAAGCCGCTTCTGGTGAACCAGAGCAGCGCACAGAAATGCCGTTTACCTTCCCTCTGGAGTGGTACCTATTTATCTACTTGCACTTTGACGTGCTTTCAAACTGCTAGGTTGGCAGGAGCAGGGACTGAGCAACGGGAGCTCACCCCGTCGCGGGGATTCGGTGTCTTTAGCACCTGATAAAAAAACTGTGCAACGGAGGTGCCAGATGTATCTCTGTGGGGAGACAGCTCTCCCATAATGCCATCACCTGACAGTGGAACTGCCAAGAGGGTTCCTTCTGTTTATCTGAACACCTGGAAGAGTCTGTAGGGAAACAGTCTTTCAAACAGTTGGCTTTCACCTTCTAAACATGGCAAGTGGCACCCGCCAAAATCCCCTCAGATAAGAGCAGGGGCAGAGGAAGGGGCGGGCAGTAGGGGTGGGCAGCCCCAGGTGTCACCACTGAGGGGGTGACAGAATGCCAGATGGCACTCACTGTGGGGCTTGCAGCGTGCCCGAGCCACACGTCTCTCCTGGGAGTGACATGGTGGCTTGGGTGCCCGCAGGCTATGCTCTGCCCCAAATGGTCTGCCCGCCGTCTCCCCCTCAGCTGTAGGGCGGCTGAGTGGGAGGAGGCAGGCAGACTCCTCAGAGGTCCTGCGGAGGGCCCTGCCCCGGCTGGCCCTGCCCCACCGGCAGCCACACACGCCGCCCAAGGCGCCCGATCGGCTTGCTCCGCCGCTGCATAGCCCTCCTCTGCTTCTACAGAGTTAAGACACACCTGTGACTGAGTATGAACCCAAATCTCTTTCCTTTCCTTTTTTTCAAAGCCTCTGTGGGGAAACTGGTTTTTTTCCTTTACAGTACCCAAGTTTTCATCTATCAGGTCTGAGCATGTCCTCAATGGCAAGGCTCATCTCTTTCATGTGTTCGGCTAGTTCTTACCCTAAGACAGGAAATTCAAAGACTCGTGGATTCCAAAGGGAAAGATTTAAACTTGTGCTGAAATCTGCAAGACTTAAAAAGTGATAAATTTTGGCTGGATCACATTCCTGTATCAAAGAGTAGAGCAAATGAGACATAGGCCCCATCTGCACTATACAGTAGTACCTCGGGTTAAGAACTTAATTCATTCTGGAGGTCCGTTCTTAACCTGAAACTGTTCTTAACCTGAGGTACCACTTTAGCTAATGAGGCCTCCCGCTGCCACCGTACCACTGCCACACAATTTCTGTTCTCATCCTGAAGCAAAGTTCTTAACCCAAGGTACTATTTCAGTCTGTAACCTGAAGCATCTGTAACCTGAGGTAGCACTGTACATTTAAAGCAGATATCACACCACTTCAAACTGCTATGGCTTCCCTCAAAGAATCCTGGGAACTGTAGTTTGTAAAGGGTGTTGGGAGTTGTTGGGAGACCCTGATTTAAATCCCAGAGTTCCCTGGCAGATGAATTGTTAAACCACTCTGGGAACTGCAGTGAGGGGAACAGGGGTCTCCTAACAACTCTCATCACCATTAACTAGTTAGTTCCCAACGTTCTTTGGTGATAACCATGACTATTTAAGCTGGTTTCATGCAGCTTAAAATGTAAAGTGCCGTTGGGGTAATAGCTAGAGCACTGGACTTAGCTGGGCAAAAATGGGGTTCAGACCTCTTCAGCCATTATACTTATGGGGTGGCCTCAACCAACCTACTCTCCACCAAATGTGGCCACCCCACATTACCAGCACATACACCCCACATACACAGGAACACAAGTCTTCCCAGAAAGTTCAACTGAAGGAATGGATAGCACCCCTCAAATGACTGATCTGATGTCCACATCTTTTCACCTATCACACAATTACCCAATGAGTGGTTTATTTGGAAATAGCTAAAAGATAACCCAAACGTTGTGGAAAGTACTACCAAGTTGCATTCCCCCCTTCTCTTGGAAAACACACACAAATTTCCAACTGAGCTCGCTCCTGGCTCCTGGTTTTTTTTAAATTCAATGAAGTGAGCACATTACCCAGTTTACTATGATGCAGTGCTTTTTCCAGTACAGGGGTACACATACCCCAAAACATTTTGTGAATCTAAGTTTGGCCTCATTGAGGGGCAGTATTTCAATATGAGTAGGAAAATGAGAGTACCCCCTAAACATTTTTTTAAGGAAAAAAAGCACTGCTATGATGTAATGTACAACAAACCAAATTTCACACCTCCTCAAGTTTTTCTTTCCATTTTGGTATTTCACAACAAAATGACAAGATGATTGATTGTTGCATGTAGTTTGCTTCTCGGAACCTGTTGGATATATACGGTTAGTTTCAGTTCTTTATGTTATTGCCAAACCAAATGTTGGGCCATTTAAAGTCACTTTGGGGCATTTTTAAGTTGAGAGGCACAACATACAAACTCTTTCTCTTCTCTGTGACAATAGTTCAGATTGAAGGGAATGTTTCCTGCCCTTTACTGCTGGTGAAAATTCAGTGCGTGATCACTTCACATTACACTACTGATATGAACAGCAGACTTTCGCACAGTTAATACCTGAAGAACCACGCAGTATTAAAAAACAATGCTGATCTTACTGAACGTAGCGGTAGAGGAAGCAAACATCTTTCCATTCATTTCTGCCAGTTCAGCCACTTGATACTCACAGACACTGTACGCTTCGTCCCTGACCTTTGTCATTTTGAATCCTAGGGCCAATATAACATTAAGGTCAGGACAGGTGCAGGCTTAGCAATAATGCTATTAACAAGACACTGGATGTCTCCAGCCCACCTTGTTTTAAATAGCAGCATTGATAAATAGGGACAGAAACCTCAACTAGACTACACAGTGCTCATATGACTATTTCCTAGGGATGATAAGTTTCCTTAGCAGTACCACAGATTTTGGTGTACTGTACTCCCGCCGTTCGGTCCCAGCTCCTGCCCACCTAGCAGTTCGAAAGCACCCCTAAGTGCAAGTAGATAAATAGGGACCGCTTTATAGCGGGAAGGTAAACGGCGTTTCCGTGTGCTGCGCTGGTGCTGGCTCGCCAGATGCTGCTTTGTCACGCTGGCCACATGACCCGGAAGTGTCTTCGGACGGTGCTGGCTCCTGGCCTCTTGAGTGAGATGAGCGCACAACCCTAGAGTCGGTCACGACTGGCCCGTACGGGCAGGGGTACCTTTATCTTTAAAAAACTGTCTTGCTGGCCTACACAAAAGAAAATGCCACCTTTGGCTTGCTTCCCTCCTCCCTTGTCATATACTAGTTCCCACCCATCTTTCCAGTGTTATGAGGTGTGTGGTGTGCAAGTGAGAATTGCAGGCTTGCATTCAATCTGACACTCAATTATAGGGTTCAGTTGATGGCAAGTCCTGGGCACACACCAGCTTTTGGCACTCCAATAACCATTAACACAGACAAAAGAGATAAATCAGGAATAAATTCACTGTAACAAAAAGGGAATTAGCTTATTGTCTGAAAATGGAAATTAGCACATTTACTAAAAATAAATATAACCCTACAGTTCATTCTTATACCGTCTCAGAAATAAATCCTACTGTGTTCAGTGGGCTTTATGTTAAGTGCATACAGAGTTGCAGCTTAATTGTTGCTTATCTGACCACGCTCATCTTTTTGACACACTTTAAAACTCTTTCCTTTTTAGATACCTTACAAAAAAAGCATAAAGACTTGCTTATTCAAAACTATTCACATATTTACAAAATGAAAGCAGCCCAGACTGACAAAGTTACAAAACCATTTATTAAGCCCTTTTAAAGTTCGACTAACACACAAGACAAAAGTTTATTTTACACAATAAACATCCTGAACGGAACCACAAAGTGGCAACCTATTTTCACACTCCTAGTCCTACAATTATTTTCTCCTACAATGTGAATTTGGTAACAGCTTCAGGGATCAATTGCAGCATAATGTGAATTTCATTCACAGATAATGATGGGGTTAAGGTAGGTAGGCAGAACACATTGCCAAATGGGAGGATAAATTTTCTTGCAGGTAGAAAGTGCTGAAGCGTTTGTGCAACATTCAAAAATAATTGGGTAAATACATGTATGACATTCAATATTGACTATGCAAAATCTTTTGCACAACGTAGGGTAAGAATGAAGATGAACTATATCAAGATGTACCTTATAGTTCCTATCTGTGCCATGAAAAAGAAACAATCTTCAAATTATGCTTTCAGTGGAAGAAACAGACGAATTCCATTTACAGCAAGCTCCTACAGAGGTCTGCTTAGAAGAAAGTCTGATTTCAGTATAACTTTCTCTCAAGTAAATGCACATAGGATTCCTTCCTTGAGATCACGTCTCAGCGTTTCAGGGCCATCCATTTCCTGACATCAACTGCACGTTATTGCTCATCTGATTTATAGTGTTTTAATGATCTATAGCTTTAACAGCAAGTCAAACGCCTCGTTTGGACACACTGCTAAACCATGTTTTAGCATTACAAGCATGAGCCTCAACAAACATGGGGCTTGTGTGCTCTCCCAGCCACCTTCCAGCACTGCTGAGAAGTTCAGAAACTGTCATTTCTATTTTAATAATATTTTGCTGTGTTGTCCCAACCCAGAACAACCATGGGTAATCATTATTATTATTATTATTTAAAAAACAAGCCATCTTCAGACCATAGTGATCATGGCTTGAAGCTGGCTTGCTCTAACACACCATCGTTAAGTTTAACCACATTTTGTGCTAAACTGTGGTTAGCCTGAAACTGGCAAAGCAGGAGAGGGGAGGAGGGAATGCAGAGGCTGATGCTCATTGAAACTTGTAACACTAAACTATGGTTTACAAAATGAAAACATTTTAACCTTCAAGTGCCTTCTTCCCAAATCCCCCGAACTGCTTTACAACTTGGGAATTCGAGGAACAATTGGCTACGTTTGGAGAGCATTACTTAAGAGAAGTTCTCAGTAATTATGTGCCTTATTCTGGGATGCCACCTGAATTAACGCCATGGCTCCTTCCTTCCCTGTTAGCACTATTCAGTTATCTGTATATAAGATGGAAACCATAGCTGTAAATTGGCATAACCAACGAGGAAGGCACTGCTGCTGCACATTCTCCAACAAATTCCCAAGCAACCCCCAAGTGAATGGTAGCTGCTCCACATCAGCTAATGCTGGGATGGGAAACCTACTGTACTTTCATCAACCCCCAACTGCAGGGCCAATAATCACAGATGGGAGCTGGAGTAGAACACTGGGTGGTCACAAGTTCACCATCCTGCCCTGATGGAGTGCACTCCCATCTCATTTTTCCAACACTGACTTCTGTGCTACAGTGGCCAGATTACAGATTAGGAGACTAGAACAAGATGCAGAATTGATTGTTTATTCAATAAATATAGCCCAGTTAGTGCCAGATGAGGCAAACAGTGCAGAAACTGTCACTTAATAAATGAAATTCTAGATACTATAACTTTTTTTTTTTTGTACAAACAATATTCAACACTTTTTATAAATTCTCAGATGCTACTGAATTCCCAACACAATTCCATCAGGGGACTTTTACATAAACTGATTAAACACGCTACCGTTATATAAAAATAGAGATATGTATTGGGGTTTTACAAAACTTCACAGAGCTAAATCTGACACTTCTCTAAAAACGACACCATCATAGAAAATAGTATTGTTAAAGGTAAAAAGAAAATACTCTATTGGAAACACTTTTTGCCCTAATTGCCCTGCTTCCTGGATTTATAGATTTAAAATGAAGTCATCTGCATTTCTTTTCTATCTCGAGGTCAGCTGTGTACAAAGGATGGATATTTTTTGCAAGTTCTCTTCGGGTGGCTGATTGGGATGTTTTCCCATGATGTTGTGCTTTTAAAAGACATTCTAATTATTTTTTAAAAACCCATTCCTAAAGTTTAAAATGGTTAGCGTAAGATCTAAGGAATTAATTTTATAAATATCAAATCAAAAACATTACAGCAAATACCATGATCTGAGACAAAATACAGTTCTCCATTATAAATACCTGATAGCTAAAAACATTTAAAAATCTCACACAATTTTGAAAATAGCAAGATATTAAATCCATTTGAAGAATATCTAATTTATTAGCGGTCCCCAAGTTGAGTAGTTGTATACATGGTGTGGGAGCTCAAGCTGAATTCATCAGACTCCACAATAATGTTTAATCTACCCTCATGCATCCTATTAGAGGTACTGGGGGCTGGGGCTGGGGCACAACTCAAATTGCCGTAACATACAGTCCTCACTACTCAGATCCAAGTTACACAACAGCAATTATTGTCAATAGCACCAACTATTTCTTAGTTTGTTGCACAACAGAGGATACATTGGATTAGTTTCTTCCTGCAACAGTGCAGTCATTAAAAGGCACTGCTTGGTATATGACTTCTTGCATAAAGTTTTAGAAGTTAATAATGTTACAGAATGCATTTATGTTAAAAGGGGTCATAGCACAGCATCAATTTCAAAGCCTGGTTAGATGTTCTATTCAATCCGCTAACCAAAAATACCAGTTTCATTATGCTGGTTTAATTGCCCCCTCCCCAATATTAATAAGAAGTGGTAGGATATCACTGCCAAACACACTGTGGGATGCTTCTTGGTAGCAAAAGAAAAGAACAAAAACTGTTCATTCTCTATTCTTCCGCTGGGAAAGAAGGGGAAGGAAAGGATGATCATCAGCTCACCCCTAAATAGGAAATCAAGTATACAAAGCTAGGAAAAAAGGATATATTTGCAACAGTCTATCCCTGCAGAAAAGAGAGCAATGATATATCTAAGAGATTCAGATACTGAGGCACATTTGAGCTGAAGGTTTTTCAGGCAGATTTTATGGCTAGGTCAGGCCTCTCGGAAGAGTCTGCAACTAGAGGTTTCCTCATCCAGCAACTCAGGTTCAAATACCAATTGTAATATTAAGACATTCGCTTTCATTACTTAGTCACTGCTGTCATCGTCGTCGTCATCATCTGACATATCATTTAAAGGAAGCTTCGGTGGGTGACTGTAAGAGTCCGATCTCGTAGGCTGACATGTAGGCATCTCTCCTGTGGAAAGGAGGTCATAGCAGAAGTCGCAGATTCGCACAGGCTTGGAGGACTGACTGGGAATAAGAAACCTCTTTTCAGAGCAGGGCCCACATACAACAAATCCACATTTCCGGCAGTGGTGTCGACGATTGACGGGGGTGAATTTTGCTTTCTGGCAGCGCATGCATACAGTGGCTTCAGAATCAGGTACCCAAACAGCCGCGTGTTCATTACTGGGAGTCTTCCCGCTTTTGGAAAGCAAATCAGAAACACATTTATTTATGTGGTTCATCCATTCAGATTTCTCTGTGGCAGTAGCAGCATACACTGCAAAAGATTTAGTCGGGGTCTTGATAAGCCACCCATTCCGTAGATCCCCCTCATCCTGGATGGACTCAATAGTCACGTTTTCCAGTGGAATGATGTGCTGTTTGTTATATTTCTTCTTCTGGATGACAATGTTACCATACACAAGGATATCATTGAATAAGAAGAACTGCCTCGCTTTTGGTTTCTTCCGACACAGCTTCGTTAGTACTCCTTCACCAATCAGGACACGGCCTGGAATAGTCAGAGGCTGACCAGCGGCTCCAAAACAGTTTTCCACGATGCTTATTCGCCTAGTATTTGCTTCACTGTTTGCCAAGCGATCCACCATCTTTCACTAGTATCCTAAAACAAAAAGGAATAATGTTAGGTCGCTGCAGCTATTCAGCCAATTGCTGAAAATCAAGCAAGATGTTATCAGCATGCATTTTTCTGTCAGCTTCTCCTCTAGCAGCAGGTCCCACACCAAACCATTAAGCGTTTCCCTAACCCCCCCCCCCCCAAGCGTAGAGAGTTATTTTAAATGACAGGGGGAATTTGGTGAGCATCACTGGAAAAGAGTGGGAAAACCCTTCCTTCCCAGTTTTTGCCACCCTCTTGCCTGTCTTTAAAGGAGGCCAGATTTCCATAGTGGCCGTTGCTATCTGACACCCTCCACAGCTGTGGTTTGCATTTTTCAACTAATCAACAGCTTAAGCAAGAAGACTAAACACCAGAATGAGCCGGTACCTCTCCTCTTATTTTGCTTTCCTACCAAGGAATAACAAGACAGTAAAAGGAAGGAGGGGCGGCTATTAGGCTGCTTTATAAAACTTTGCAGGATTTGAGCAATACAAGGCAACTTGATTGTCTTCAGATTTCTTCCAAGAGATACCATCTTAAAATTGTAGGTTCTCCATAATAACACTGCTTTATTCCATTGACCTGAGTGGTCTCTTGCTGCATGTCCTGCATATGTTCGTTTTAACTTTGTGGCCTTTCCACAACTATAACTTTTGATCTTTGTCATATCCAATTATTAGTTTTTCTAAGTCCCAGTTTAGAGATATGTGGTGAGATGGCTTGAGGATGAAAGCTACTGTGTACAAAAACAGCAAAAAAACAAACCATGAGCCAATACTGCTCATTTTAGGGAAGTTAACTCATCAGCACTGCACACTGAGTGGAAAGTCTTTTAACCTTTTGTCATGATACCCTTTTCCTAGAAATGTACTAGAAAGGCAGAATGCCAAATGGAAACTATGAAAACCACCACATTGTTCCAAGTTTAAATTTCTAATATTGTTGTGCTAATCTAGCCACCTTACAACTTTATGATATTTTCAGCAGTAGGCAGCACCAGCTTTCTGAAGGCCACTACTTTAAATACTGTTGCACGCACATCCCAATCCCTGAGTGGCAAGGGACTCCAGGGGTTCCAGTGCTCACCCAGGGTTTGGCTTCCTTAGAATGAGGGTCAATTGAGACTGTGGTGTTTTTAGGATGTGTATTATATATACATATATACAACCTGAGCACAGGGTTTGTTTGTTTTTCTTTGAAGGAGGCTCACAGCATTAACACTCCAGCAGATCTTGCTTCCCCTTTAGGTTTCCAGTGAAACCCCAAGTCATAGCTTTGGGTTCAGCACAGAGCAAGGCTAGCCTGTGTGTATCCAGCTTCTGGTATCAGCCAAACTCTCTCTTTCTCTCTCTCTCTCTCTCTCTCTCGCTCTCTCTCTCTCTCTCACACACACACACACACACAGCCACCTTGACATATCGTTCTGCATTCTATAATGACATGGCATTAGTTCAGATTCACAAATGAAGTAAATTCAGTTTAACCTAATGTCTGTTTTTTAAAAAGCAAATGCAAACAAGTCCTCTTCACATGCGCAGAGCTAAGCTAATATCCCTAGGCAATAATAAACCAACTTGCATTTAAAAATTAAAAGCATGCACCCAAACCGACCTTTGCTCAAGGAAAAAAAGAAGCTACAGAAAATTCTCCTTCCAGAGCAGATATGTGAAGTCCCTTGTATACTTGGTCCTATTACATTTAAAATATACAGATGACAGCCCAGGGCCCTAGTTTCTAGGTTTCTAACTATGAACTTGCCAAAAATAGCTCCTAAGGTGTGGGTGAAATCCATTATCATGGCAAAACTCTCTGCTATACAGCTATATCTATACATTAAAAATAAGTACCTACATGAAAACAAGAGGCATGCCTAATCCATTCTTTAGCAGGTTAGTACCTAGTCCAGGATTCCTCAAACTTGGCCCTCCAGATGTTTTGAGACTACAATTCCCATCATCCCTGCCCACTGGTCCTGCTAGCTAGGGATCATGGGAGTTGTAGGCCAAAAACAGAGAGCCGAGTTTGAGGAAGCCTGACCTAGTCAATATGCAGGAGAAGTGGAGGAGAGTGCACAAGCACAGGGCTTGCTGCAGCATGTTCCCATTGCACTAAAATGACAGTTAGCACCATGGTAGGGAGCTGGAAGTGGCTGGAAGTCTGGATCGTGAGTTCCTCCACTCTCCATAGGTCAACTTTGACAGCAGGCAAGGCTGCCACCTGTCAATCACTTAACATCATAATTATGCCCACCTGTCAAAAAGAGTTGCTGTAACTGCCAATCAGCTGATTGGCAGTTACAATGAGCTCTTCTGAAGTCCATTTATATGTGTGTCTTGGATTCCAACCATTTCTTCAAATGGACTCCAAAGAAGTTTACAATGAATTCCTTGAAAGGTGCCTGGGCCTGTCAATGAAAGTACAATCAATGTATCTAGTCGCATTCCTTCACTCTGCAATCATAATTCATGAACATTTACGGAGAGTCTGGAAATTTACCTTGTGTTCTTATATCAATGCTCAACTTATCATGCAAATCTTGTTCTAAGATACACCAGTGTTATAAAGAAGGCTTATTACAGCAAACAAATGTCACAAATTGGCTTTTAAAATGTTACTTGACAGTGCTGGATCAGATTCACTATCATTCACATTTAAAAGGACTTAGTTAATAGAGTCACTGAATTTAGCCATCAGGGCTACAGAATCAAACTTCATGTCAGAAATTAAAACTTTTACACTTACTTGTTGCGGGAATAAGAAATGGGAAAACAAAACAGGAACAGTGACCTGAATCCAAGTATCACTTCCTAAAGAAATATACATAGCCAAATAAGTGCATAAAATCAGCCCTTGAGGTGGACTTCCACTATCAGCTATGGCAGTCAAGTCTGCCTCTTTTAAATAATTAAAAAGCACAATTTGTGCATGCATCTGTATATGGCTAGACTGCATGTTACTTTAATACTAAGTTATAATTATATTAATTCCATTTCCACAAAATGTGACTATGTAGTCCCATGAAGCTACAGGAATCAGTAAAAATGCTTGCTCAGCCATGAAGTTCAGCAAGTGACCTTGGTCCTCCCACTTCCTCTCAGCCTAGCCTACCTGCCAAGGTTATTGTGAGGGGGCAGGGGGGAGAGAAGGAGAATGAACTATACATACTGCCTTGAGGTCTTGGAAAGATGGAACAGTATAATAAATTAAATTAAAAGTAGATGTGAATCTGTCAGAAACTCTGTTAGACTAAATATCTCAAGATGTGCCCTCTAACCTTATGGAATAAAGGTAAAGGGGCCCCTGACTGTTAGGTCCAGTCGCAGACGACTGGGGTGGCGGCGCTCATCTCGCTTTACTGGCCGAGGGAGCCGGCGTACAGCTTCTGGGTTATGTGGCCAGCATAACTAAGCCGCTTCTGGCGAACCAGAGCAGCACACAGAAACGCCATTTACCTTCCTGCCGGAGCAGTACCTATTTATCTACTTGCACTTCATGCTTTCGAACTGCTAGGTTGGCAGGAGCAGGGATCGAGCAACGGGAGCTCACCCCATCTTGGGGATTCGAACCGCCGACCTTCTGATCGGCAAGCCCTAGGCTCTGTGGTTTAACCCACAGCGCCACCCGCGTCCCTTATGGAATAATGGAAAGGAATAATCTATGCTAAATTATAAATTTAGAATTCTTTCTGTGGGCTATTTTATTTCATAAAACATTTTATACTACCTTTCATCCTTAAAAAGAAAGGCAGTTTATAACAAAACATCAATGCAAATAAAAAGCACATTAAACTAGATAAATTAACACATTTAAAAGCCTGGTGCAACAAAAATTTCTCAACCTCCCACCTAAAGGTTGGTAGAGGCAGGGCCAGTCTAGCCTTCTTTGGAAGAGAGTTCAACAATCATTGAGCTGCCCAGGAAAAGTCATCCCTGCTAAATGCACCTGACTTGGTGGTGGAAAGCAAAGCCTTTGGTCTGATCCAGCATGACTCTTATGTTTTTATGTTACATCAGTTAGGTCTTCGACAATAACCAGCTTTACATAATCTGCTATTGCTGTCGTAGGACCCGCGGGATTTCCTGGGAAGATTCCCTCAGCATTACCCACAAGAAGATTGCTATTCATTGAAGACTTTGCAACAGTACAAACACTATGCTATAACAAGCTCATGATTCTCAGCTGACTTAATCTTCCGTGCAAGAGACAGCCTTTTCTTAAATAATTTTACCCAATGATGATTTAAACATAAAATTATTCCGTATGCTGCAGAGCCGAGGCATGATGCTAACTAGATCGGGACATGAAGCAATTGTATTTTGCCCCCAGTTGCCATACCATGTTTTAAAAACAAAGTACAGCAAGACATTTTACTGTTTCACATGCAGAGCAATGAGACTACATGTGAATTTCATATCAATATATCAATTTTACTGTACATTGTTTGCATTCTGGAATGGCAAGCCCATTACTAAACGTCTCCTTAAGAGGATCTTTCAGGAAAGCACATTCATCAGTTATGCACCCCATCCAATCAATGCCATCACAGCCCATTTTCTGTACCTCTAACTACTTTACTGCCAAATGACATACACTGCCAAATGACATACATACAGTCCAACAACTCACTAGGTCAACTGAAATGATTTAGTCCTCACCAGACTAGTGTCTGGAGAAACAGGGTAGTCTTTGAAAACATAGAAGATGGTCATTCTAGTGTAAATTCTTATCCTACTGGACCAACCAATCCATCCATGACAGGATATATCGGTTACTCTCAATGCTGAGAGCCTGGATAGGCATCCCACGTATTTTCTCTGTCTGACCCAATAATTATACATCCCTCAGAATAAGGTTAGATCATACTTCCCATACAAATAAATTAACTGGTAAAGCATGCAGCAAGCTTAATGCACATATGAAAATAAATAGTGGCATCACCCAAACATTTGTTATTTGGATTTGAAAAAAATTCAAATTGACATGGCATCTAATGCTTTTGCTCCAATATGTTTTGTTGTAATTTTCACTTTTTGTAAACTAAAACCGGAGGTTGGAATATAAACCACCCAAATAAATGAAAAAAAGAAAATGTAAATAACTAGTTAAAATGTTCTGGAAGTGAACTAACTGTACCATGAAGAACAGAATTCAAGCTACAAATGCAGCACACTGAACAATTTTGATGATGTGGAGGAAGTCCACGTATTTAACCACAAGAACTCGAGTTAGATTCACTATATTGCTAAATTTATCCAACTGTTACACTATTCGCTTTTACTCGGTGATCCCACCGCATAGTAAAGCATTTACTGTAAAGTGTTTCAGTTCTGTCCCACAACCCTCACCCATTACTTCTCACAGTTGACACTGCATCTTTCACTGTGCTTCATGGAAAACTTTAGAGATGCAAGGTGAATCTAATAATCAGGTGCATGCATACTGCTTCCAAAGTCAGTATATCAGAAGAGTGTTGCCAAATCATCAGTCTGTTTGCCCCAGATAACCCTGGTTTCCTTACATCTGAACCAGCACTAACCATACTTACACAAACCCTAGGATGTTCCAAACACTCTGTTTGCAAAGCTAGTTAAAACTGGTTGCACAATTTTCTTAAAGTTGTGCCCTGTCTGTGAAAGGTGTTAGACAGCTCACCAACACTTTAAAAAGAGGGAGTTCTCTCTATGAATATAAAAACAATGAGCAACTGAAAATGCATAATACAGGCAGCATGAGTTATTGGACAGATGCAGAACACAGACACACATCAAGGATTTAAGTGTCTTTTAAAATGACTATGTTATTAATTAAAGATCTGCTTGACATCGGACCAATAGAATTACACTGGTTTCTTGGCTTTATATAAAACAAATCATGCTACTTCAAAACAATATCCATAACATAAAAGAGGGGAAGATTTTGAACTGGCATGGTGATCCTCTGAATCAAAAGAGTATCAGGAAAGTATAAAGCTGTTTACTGCATATTGTGTTTACCTTGATTACGAAACTAGTGTCTCCAAGTGTGGAATCAATCGTCCTGCCAAGGAGACATTTAGTACAAAAAGATCCTTAAGGAGATGAATCCTGCCTCAGTGCAGCTGAGGTTTGGCATTTTACAATCACTGCAGCCACTTCCAATGAAGAAACCTCCAGAGGACTCTTGGATAAAGATAAAGGTCCGGTTCTTTGCAAAAAGGAGTTGCTGCTTTATCCTAATGTTGGTTTATTGTTAGTTTTAGGAAGGCACCACTGTTTCTTGTGCTTTCTTTCATGCAATGTCCATTTCAGAGGAATACCCTAGCCCAAAGACCAGCGGCATACTATACACAAGCAACACAGATGGGTCTGGATTGGTGGAGTTGGGGGGCACAAAAGGTAGAACAAGCTAAACTGGGAGGAGGAGTTGAGATGTTTTTGTATAAATATCCACAGGATACCAAATAATTTTCTCTAGATTACGCTATCCTTATTCCTAAAGAAAATAAGAAAGACCAAACTTTTCTTGCTTTACGTTTAAATTAAGTCCAAACTTTCCCGCCAGACACAGCTGCAATTAATTAGCAAGGTTTCAACACACAATATCCTCTGCCCAACAGGACCAAAGTAAACTAAACCTATCTAAATTATGCCGCATCTCACAACAGTTGCAGCCCACTAGGAATGACAATGTCACTCTTCCTCCTTTGATAAGTAGATACTACAGCCTGACTCAGGGTGCTTTGTTATTGTTCAATGACCACTTCAAGAGCACACCTTGTTTGTATAAGAGACACAGCTAACTGAACTGGCCATGATCTAAACTTAAATTTGGATTACTAATCATCACAAAAGTGCATGCATTCAGAAGATTAGCTAGCCAGCGACTGATTCATGAATCTCTAGGCAACTCAAAATAGATAAGAAGGTTAAGCCACTCTGTGTTACTCTGGAGCATTAAATCGGGAGTGTACTCATTAACAATTATCAGTCTGAGAGGTTATACGGAAAGGAGATGAAATCTGAAGCAGCCACTGTCAGCAAGGAAGTCCTAAGCTGCAAAAGACAAATGTGCAACAAAAGAAAGTGAAAGAAATAGGTAAAACTACATCAAAGAATTTAATCCTTTGGAAAATGATGCCAGTAGCAACTGAATATAGAGAAATGCTTATTAAAAATAGGTGCAGTATGGCTCCTATTTTCAGCCTTGTGGCCATAGGCAACAACAGATTGCATGTGAGTATTGAGTAAGCAGCCCAGGTGGATGGAGTACTTTGCTCCATCTCTGCACCCAGCAGAGAAAGCAAGCAGGCTGTTACAGGAGAGAAGCCCCCTCAGCTGCACCCAGCACAGAGTTCTTGCCTTCTCTTTGCCAGTGCCCTATGGGCTAAAAAATTTTTGCAGCATACTTCTGCACACGGTCCATAACTCAAAATGCAAGTCAGCATTCTCCATATTTTAAATACCTGTGTCTCCAACACCAAGTGCAAATTTCTCTATGGAACCAGGAATCGCTTCAGAAAATGTGTTTCACTCTTAATTGCATAGGCAAGAGAGACAGAAAAAGGTGACTCATAGTCCTCTACCGCAAATCTACAAGCAAAAAGTTTTTGTTGTATTTTTACTAATAAGTAATTTATTGCCTTCTTTCTATCCAAATATGAGCCCTACCCATGGAGGTGTCCATTAATTAAATGGCAGAGAATAGGAGGTTCCCTTACTGGAGGTAAATAACAAGAAAATGAATTTGATAACATTTATTGATTGCACATGCAAAGTAGCATGTGCAATCAATAAATGTTTTTGAATTCATTATCTTCTTATTTACATCCAGTAAAATAACTTCCTAATTTTCCCTACACTACCACCGTGAGAAACTAACACCACATTTTAAAAAGAAAAATGTGCCACTGGAAATACCTTTTAAGCTGCCACTTGAATAACTAATATAACAGAAATTGTTGCATGATCTAACAGCTTTCATTCCTCTTTGAAGTATATTACTAAATCAGGAAAGGAGGTATCTAGTTATAAAGAAAGTGGCAGCATGCTCTCAAAAGCCTTGATAATTTTGTAAGTTTTGGCTTCTAGTCTCCATTTTCCCATAGTGCTAAATCAGGTGCAGAAAAAGCACACACAAATGTGGCAAGCATGCTTTAATCCTCACAGCAACCAAATAAACTTAATGGAATGAGTCTACTGAAAGCTTCTGGAATGTAGTCAATGAATACTGATGAAATTCTTAATCTGAGGTTCGAGGCAAGAACACAGAAGCTTATCTTGCCAAACATATTTAGAAAGTCAGGGTTTTAGTCAGTATTTGGAATGTAGCCACTTTTCTTAATAATATTTACTTTACATAGTAGCCAAAGGGAACCGAAAGGCAAGCCGTATCACTTTAGAAATTATCAACATTAAAACAACTTACACAGTTGGCAAAATGCAATGCTGTGTGAGCGACTGCTACTCGTGTAATGAAACTTCCCCTTCCTCTTCTCCCTTTGTAGTTCATTCCTCCCCTCTGGCAGGGTCCACCCTCTAGTGAAGTTTTGTGGGCGCATGTGGGAGTTGCAGGAGGGAGGCGAGGGAGGTGTCTGTTCAGCTCACAGACAAGACACAAGTGGATGTCAGAGTGGAGGCTGGTATATCAGGGCAAATGGGGCTCTGGCCCACTAACCTCAGCCTGCCCTCGCCCTGTCTGCGCTTTGCTACTTACAACCAGCACAGGGGACGGCACTGCCTTTCAGCTTCCTTGCCTTTAGCTGATGCCTTTGTAGAACTCAACAGGGAAGAGGTTGGGGACAAAACTCGAACAGCTGGCTCTGCCTGTCATTGACTCCAGCTCCTGTTTGGGCTCTCTGCCTTCCACCCTACCAGACATAAGAGGCATCAGCCATTAATGGATGTCACCTAGTATTGGGAAGAGATGTGTTTTCTTTTTGCTGCCTTAAAGGCTTAACCAACCCCTCTGAGCCTGTGGGTCACTGTCTAAAATGAAAATGTACCGTATTTTTCCGTGTATAACACGCCCCCATGTATAAGACGCTCCCTATTTTGGGAAACTCAAAATTAAGAAAATGGGGGGAGATTGCCTCTGTGTATAAGACTACCCCCCCCTTTTTAACATTATTTTTCAGTTTATATTAGAAACGCAAGAGGATCTGTTTTATTAATAGACAAATTCATGGAGGAAAGCGCTACCAATGGTTACTTAGCCGTGATGGCTACATAATACCTCCACAGTTGTAGTAGTAATGCTTCTGAATACCAGTTGCTGGAAACTGCAGGAGGGAAGGGGAGACTGCTCTTGTGCTCATGTTCTGCTTGCTGGTTTTCCCCAGGCATTTGGTCGCTCACTGTGAGAACAGGATGCTGGTCTAGAACAGGATGGGCCAGTGGCCTGATTCAGCAGACTCTTTATGTCCTTAAAAAGGCAAGTCTTTGCTCCCCAATGAAACTAAATTTGGTGCTCTTAGGGCTGGGGCCCCCAAATCTTTGATGCGGCGGCCGCAACAAATTTTGCTTTTTCAGCTCTGATGTTAACGGCCCTAACAAAGCTCTTTCACTTCTCAACAAGTTCATTACATACAAAAATGTATTTCTGGAATCTTATGGCAGCACAGGACCCATTTTAACAACACGGGTTTGTTTCAGATAAATCAGAGCGATGTTGGCTCTGTTTTGTCTTTTAAAAACTTCTCCTGACAATTGGTCATATTCAGATTATTATATCTCTGCTTAATTAACAAATATGTTCAAGCCTTTTAACCTTCACATGCAGCCCCTTCCCTCCTCATAGAAATTAAGTCTCAAATTAATAATTAACTGGGAAAGTATGCCCACCACGTTCAGAACAAGTTAATAGCTCACATATAAGTTAGATATTTATTTGAGATCCCAACTTGTTCTGAACCAGGTAACCATAATTTTCCATTTCTGATTATGTGGTAAACTACAGATAACTGTAGACTTCCAGGTTTGATTGCTGCAGTCAGAGAAGGAAGAATGGAAGGGGTTGTATGCTTTGGCAAAATGTTTGCAGCTTATTAAGCCAATATATGATAGTCCCAAACAGGTTTGTAAATGTGTGCAGTGATTTCTGCAGTCATTGCATAATTTAAAAAAATCACATAATAGGAGGAAGCACATAATTTTTTTTATCTCTACGAACAGGATTTTAGCTGCCAGAACAAACAAATCATAAGTGTACAAACATGTTCAAGTAAACAGCTAACACAAAAGTCCAAATGCAAGTATAAAAATTCCTTCCTGTATTCCTCCAGGAAGATTAACCAACTAATGCATGCTCTCATGGAATTCAAGACATCATTTCAGGTTTGTGACAATTCAAGAACAAATCTTTAGTTCTATTGTTAACATATGCCCAACTGGAATGCATGAGCCTTAAAATCATCCACTCCCTCTATGCTTCCTGTGTGGCTGTGTAAAGACTGCAACCATTGGCTTGTTTGTCACTAGATCTGGCAAGACAACATTTATAGGACATGCTTTTACTATTTCATGCCTCCTTTCTCTAATTTTCTTGCTTTTTGTATATTGTATGAACACTCTTAGTTGTGGCTTTTCATCTTTTACATAAGACTTTCCCCTTTTTTGTTTTATAAGCGAAAAACTTATGGGGGGGGGGGCTTACGTAAAAGAGTTCAAAAACTTCATCTGAACCAAGACTTCTACATGTAGTCACAGCAGCCTTGCCTGCCTGGTGCCCTCCAAATGCTCTGGACTACAACTTCCATCAGGTCCAGCTGCCACAGTTGTATTGGCTGAGGCTAATGGTGATTACAGTCCAAAACGACTGGAGGGCACTAGGTTAGGAAATGCTGACCTACATCCTTCCAAGATTTTGTGGGCTAACAAGCAAAGAAACTTTTGTGGGAGGAATATGAAGTACTTCACATACTGATTTTGCGCTTAAGTCTTTTTTAGAAATAAGGAAAACATAAATATGACAAGAGCTCCTATCAAAACACAGATGAAGAATCTTACACTACAGATTCAAGGCCACCTACATGAACAAGATCAAAACTCATGACTGTGAATGCTGGGACGAAAAATTAATAACCAGGACTGGCCTAAGATCTCAGCTGGTGAGAAAGCCAGTTACACCTCCGTACATGCCAGCATTCATTTCCTGAAAAGGAAATGTCAAATGTATTATGTTCAAGATACATAGGTAGTAGAGAAAACACATCCATTGTTAAACAGGGATCGAAAAAGCCTCTTTGGGCAGCAGCCTACCAATATATGGGTAGGTTATGAAGTGAACTGGATATATTTCCCTCCACAGATACATTGGCAAGCATTTGGCATTTCACAGCTGAACTATGAACAGAAGTATTTACTGTATTAAATTTATATCCTGCCTGTCCTACCAAAGGAGCTGAGAGCGGCAAGTACACCAGCAATAAAAACATCTAAAAACAATTCCAATACAGATGCAGACTGGGGGAAAGGCCTGCTTAAAAGGCTTGTTGGAAGAGGAAGGAATTCAGGAGGTGCCAAAAAGCCAACCAAAGTGCCACCTATTATTTAATGGGAGGACATTCCAAGGGGCAGGTGCCGCAGTTCTAGAGGCCCAATTCCTATACAGTGTGGAATGGACCTCCTGATAACATGGTATTTGCAGGAGGCCCTCAACAAAAGAGCACAGTGACTATATAAGGAGTGAGACAATCCTGGTCCCAAGCCGCACCTTTAAAACTGGAAGGGAGGGAGGAAAAAAAAGAAAAAATACCCAAATATAAGTCACTCCATTCCTCGCTGCTCCTGGCTACATACTGGGGGGGGGGGACACCGCACTGTGTTGCCAGCGGCCTTTCCCCTTCTTTGCTCTCTCCCTTCCCGGCCTTGGGGGAGAGGCCGCACTCCTGGCGCTGTTTGCCCTGCGCTCCTGGCTGCAATACCGTAAGGTTGGGAATATAAGCCACACTTTATAACTTTTCACGGTTGGAATTTGGGGGAAAAGTGAGGCTTATATTCAGGCCAATATGGTATATAGCTTTATACACCAAAATCAACACCTTGAAAGTAGTCCAGTAGCTAACTGGCAGTCATTGCAATTAATTCAGCAGTGGTGTAGCATGGTGGAGATACCCTGTAGCTGTCATATTTTGCATTAGTTGAAGCTTTCAGATCAACCTCAAGGACAGTCCCACCTGCAGTACTTTGCAGTAATCCAACCTGGAGGATACACGTAGATGGATGACAGTGCTCAGACTATCCTGATTCAGGAATGGCTGAAGCTGGTGAAAGGAACTCCTAGCCACCTAGGTCACCTGGGCCTCTTGCAGCAAAGATGCATCCAGTAACAGTCCCATACTATAAAACCACTCCATTTAGGGAAGACAAATTATATGGATTCAGGAATCACCCATCCACAGCACTTCTGTCTTGCCAGGATTCAGTCAGTTTGTTGGCCTTCATCCAGCTCACCACCAAGTCCAGGCACCACTCCCGGGCTTACATGGCCTCTCCTGGTTCAGATGTTAGAGAGCTGGGGATCATTAGCATACTGATGACAGCTCACCCCAAATCTCCTAATAACCATTCCCATGACTTCATACATATGTTACACGACACTAGGGACAATATGATACCCTGCGGCACCCAAACTGCACAACTGCTAGGGGGCCAAAAGACAATCACCCAATGCTATATGAAACCAACCCTGGAGAAATATACGTAAGTCACAGCTAACTAATGCATAGAACCATAGAATTGTAGAGCTGGAAGGGACACTGACGGTCACTGTTACTGAAGAATGGATGAAACAGTTTTCTGCAGAAAAATAAAGCACATCACTGCCCCCACATCACTGAGTGCTGCACCTACTATCATTTCTGAAGCCCTGCCAGTTTGTGCTGGCCTGTCCAAAAGGTGAAAGGAACTTGCTGCTGCTTCTTTTGCTTCACACAGCTTTTCTCTTTAAATTCCCCCTTCTATATTCCTACATGGAAGGAATTAGTTAAGCCAATTTCAGGGAGGATGGAGCATTCTGACCTGGAAAAAAGGGACATTGAATCTATCAGATCCAGGGCTGCCCCATCCCACCCCTGCCCCAGGTCATCCCACTTTAGGGCTTAATGCCAGCTACTGTTGGCAAAAGAACCACCACTGGCAAAAAAAGAGAAAAGAACCACCAACTGAAGTTCTATGCACATGGAGCTATCTGCATGCATAGGAGGGATCTCAACAGTCCTCTATCAGCCAGGTTCTTCTCCACCAGTGGAGGTGCCTCCCCTCCTTCCTAACCCTCTCTAATCAGCTGATCTGTAAGACTGCACTGCAAAATATTTACACAAATAAAAAAACAAGGTCATCTGAATGTAAATATGGAAAAAGAAAATGTACTGGCTAGTTTGAAACTGTTAGGTCTCATGGCCATCAATATAAGAAACAGTAGCTGACTGGACCAATATATTCCAATATAAGTTACAACAGCAGAAAAAAAATAATATTTTCAGGTAACATATTTATCTTACCTGATAACAGAAAGCATTTTTTTATAAAATCTGAATAATGTGGGGAGAAAGGCTTTAATCACTTCAATTGACTTACCACTTCAATAGACTTATCACAATCATTATTGTTTAAAAGCCATGTTTAGCACTGTGTGACTTTACACCTATAAAACTGTTTGCCTCATTTTTAAGTGTTAAGACTTGTCTGTGTTGTCAATAGCAATTTTCACAAGCTGCACTGAGTGCTCTTTTAAGGGAAAAGCAGGTATGGGTTTGCTAAATAAATAAGCAAATGAAATCCCAAATGCAGACAGGTAACACAAAAAAAGAACCAGCCCTTCTTATTTCTGTAGCAGCTAACAGAAAGTTGGCACCCTCTCCAGGATGCCATGGCATTAGAAACTTAAAACAAAAAACCACTGGCATGAACAACATCTCAGCCAAGCCCAGCCTATCAGAAGAAAACTTAGGAGAGCTAACTTCCTTCCAACCGGAATCCACTTGCTTTGCTAACCCTTGTTGACAGTCACAGGAAGTTCCCTGCCTTCTGATGCAAAACAATCACGCACCATCACGAAACTCGCCCGGGAAAGAGGGGAAACGCAACACACGCAACTTTTGACAGGCAGCCTTTAAAAGCAAAAAGACCCCCCGCAACCCAATAAAAAATAAATCTCATAAATAGGGTATTTTAAAAAAACAAAACAAAACACTATTATTCCAGTGCGAGAATAAAAGAGAAGAACTGAGCGGGAAGCCTTTTTTCTCTGGAGAAGTAAATGATTTCCGTTTTGTTTACTGAGGGAGAGGAAGGTGGGGCGACCACATACGCCTCATTTTACCCCAAATCAATGGCACGCTGAAGAGTGGGAGGTGCGCACACTCCCCCCTGCACACACAGGCATCCACGGGGTGCCAATTAGGCTGCAGCCACTTGATCTCAGCCCCACACTGAACGCCGAAGGGGGGCGGCCACTTCTCACTTTTGCCAGAGTTTGAGGGAGAAAGGAGCTTCGGCTACCACTACTTTCGGAAAGTGTCACTTAAAAGGGGAACCGGTTTAAATTTTAAGACTCTGGGAGGCCGCCACGTCCCCTCCTCTCTCCTTTCACGCAGCCGCCCTTTGCTGCTGCCAGGCAGGGGTCCCCCATCGGTGCCAAGTCGTGTGCCGCCGCCTGTGCGCGACGGAGTCAGGGCGCGCCCGAAACCCACCGCAAGCCCAAACACACGGCCCCGACGGCGCCTGGGACGCCGGCTCCCAATGGGCAAAGCCGGAGCCGCCTTTCCTCCGGCGGGAGGTTCCGCGGGGCCGCCCCTAAGTCAAGGGACGCCGTCCGGGTCTTTGTGGGGCGCCTCCTTCTTCCCCCTTCCCCGCACCGCCGCCGTCCTCGCTCCCCAGAACAGACGGGATCCCAACATGGCCGCGGATCCGCCAGGGACCGGGAGGAGAAAGTTTCCTCCGCACCACCTCCGCCGGCTCTCGGCTTCGCCCCGAAGGGGGACGGCGGGCTGCTCTCTCCCCGCGCCCCCCTGACCCGAGCGCGCCGCTTACTGAGAAACCGAAGCGCGCCCTCCCTTCGCTCCGCTTCCCAGGTCCGCAGCTTGTTGCTTCTCGCTCTCCCTCGGTTTCCTTCAGCCGCCGTTGCTAGTCGGGCTACTGCCGCCGCCGCTGCCCCGCCCGCCGCTCGTGCGCGTTCACACACACACGCTCTCTCACACACAACACCCTCGGCCGGCCTCCAAGCGGCGAGGAGGACGAGCCTCGGCGGCATCCCGCCCCAGCTCGATTTCCCAAGAGAGAGCCGAGGGGAGGGGCCGGCGCCATCTTGGGAGAGGCGCCCGTCGAAGCCGGGGGGGGGGGGTGTGCGCTGCTGAAGGGGGAGTAAGGGTCGAAGCCCTCCCTGCTGGAGAAGGGGCGCACGGGAATGTGCCGGGGTTCACACGGGGCGCCCTTCGAGCAAAGTCTTGGGTCATTCTCCCCTGAAGCTCTCTGGCCTCCCCCCGCGCAACCCGAGCGGTTCAAAACCTTTCTGCTGCCTGAGGTGAAGGGCAATGTGGATGCAGCACACCTCGCGTTTCCGTGCACTGACCCCGAGTGGGCTTCGCTTCGAGCCTGGAAAAGGGATTTCTCCCACTGCACCTGAGGCAGCAGCAGGATTGTCTTTGGTTACTAGACAGCAAGGTCCTGCAACGCCTGTCTGCTGCTCCCCAGCTCTTGCCACTTCACTTTGCCCTAGAGTAGTATAAGGGGAATAATTTGGATATATTATCCGTTCATTGTAAAAGAGATTCGGAGGATCTAACACGCTCAAACCATATGTGACTCGCCTCTATTTTAACTCGCCTTGTGTAACAAAAACGTTTTCACCAGATTGGGTTGTGATTGCTGTGTCCGTTGATGTTATGAATGTTGTTATGGCCTTTGATGAGTGCAATCAACATTTTGATGAGGAAGAAGATATATAATAAAGCTGTTTCTGTGCTTGTTGGAGCCGCTTGTGCCCACACATCTATTATTAGCACTGAGGATGGGGATGAACATGAAACACCTTGCCTATTAAGCAGTGGCATAGCGTGGGGGGTGCAGGGGGGGCCGGCCGCACCGGCCGCAACATCTGGGGGGGGCGCTCGCACTCGCAGCTCTCTGCCCCTACTAAAATCCACGGGTTAGGGGGCGCAAATTACTTGCCTTGCCCCGGGTGCTGACAACCCACGCTACGCCGCTGCTATTAAGTCTTCAGTGCAATACTTTTTCTGATGGGAATTCGCCTCCACAAAGGCTTGACTGCTGTAGCACCTGGATGTCTTTGGGTAGGTCTCGCCTAGAATGTGTTTGGAAGTGTTTTTTAGCACTTGGGTTTTAGGCTGCAAGTAGAATTTCCTTTGCACCAGCATTACTGCACTAGTCATGAGCATAGCCAGGATTTTTGATTTTTGGGGGGACAAAACCTCAGTTATTTTTATTAATGGGGGGCAGCTGCCCCTCCCTGCCCCCCTCTTGGCTAAGCCCCTGGCACTAGTACTGCAAAATATTTTGCTCCATCCGCCTGGAAGGGCAGCCGGGAAAATCCGCACTGGTAGGTAGGCCACAGAAAGCCCCATAACACTGAGGGGTTGAGCTATCCACAGTCCACTGAATCCCCAACATTGGGTCCATTGCTACACTAACTCCAAGCTGGCAAAACAATTTGCCTGTCCTCTTGCGCTGAATGGTGCAAGATGCAGGGCTGCAGATGCGGCAGTGACCCACTCATCCACTCCATTAAGCCTGGCCAGGGTTTGAATTGCCGTCCCAGTTTGTAGCATTTGTTTGTTTGTTTATTTTCCGCAGGCTCAACTGGTGGTCCTGAGTAATAACAGACTGCTGGACACTAAGGGCTTCCACACCTCGTCTTAAAAGTAAAAACAACAGTAGCTTACCAGGTAAAGTAGGAGAGGTTGAATGTACAGAGAACTTACTACTTTCACCGTGTGTGTGTGTGTGTGTGTGTGTGTGTGAAATCTTCTCTTAAGACCTGTGCATAATTTGATGAGAGTAAGACCTCATTCTGTCTCTCCCTTTGCAGCCAAGACAAGCATCTATTTCACATATCCGCATATTGTTATTTCTGAAGTGGATTCCATTCAAAATGACTGCTGTTCCACACTTACCGTATTTGCTGGTTTACTTACTGTATCTGAATTATAGCCTTCTCATGAAGGGATAGATTGTGCTGTATCCCATAATACTACTCTTCCAAAAGTAGTAATACTGGGATTGTTAATAGTTGGGATATATCTGGATTCAAACCTAATTCAGACCTTTCTGAAATTAAGAAGTCTAATAAGTTCGAATATATTGATCTTAATATTTAGGGCGTTACATCGTGGAATTGGTACAATGATAGTCCCTTTCCCCCAAAAAAAGTCTGAGTTCAAACTGGTTCAGGGTATATGACAATAATTTGATTACTAAGTCAGTTGTCTTGGTGGTCCTCTTGCATTTGACATAAAGGAGGAACCACTGGCACATCTATGTACAAAAGAAGGCTTTACATAAATACAAAAAATCTTTAGGGGGCAAAACCCTACAGGGACCCTCCCCGCCCCCAAAAGGCACCCCAGTCCAATAAGAATTTAAAATGCTCAGTGGCCACAAAATGTTGAATAACTGGGGAAGGAATGGAAAATGGAGCGATAATGGAGTAGAGTATCATGGAGGACAGCATGACTTACTGGAATACTGAACAGGAACCCTCCATACTTTAATATTTTGTTGCAGGTCCCACTTATAAACATTTAATATTCAAATTATTCAGTTCAGTGCATGTTGTGGCAACCGCAGACACATGACACTGTGGTCTACAACCACAGTGACAAGCCACACACACACTGTGCCTCTAGTCTCAAACCACAGGCAACCCTCACACCACAACACACATACCCATTATTCACCACTCACCACTCACAAAGCAAAATTCTTAACAGAATAATAATAATAATTTTAATAAATAGAACATCTTTTTGATGATTGTGATCAATACTTGATTCTGACACTCTAGGAAAATGCAACCTTTCTTTCTCTACTAATTCATCTACCAACCTCAGTATTATTGAGCCTAAGCAGGGCTTCCTGTATCCCCTTGTTCCCACTAACTGGCCTTGTTCCTGGCCTTTCAATGCCTTTATGTTGCTCAGTTGAGTTTTCATGCCTCCACCCCCCCAAAAAATCTGCCTTTCAACCTTTTCCCTAAAATGAGACATCAAATTTGCTTTATAATATATCCCCTTCTGCTCGTTGTGACTCTGGTAATTTCATTTTCATTTTCATTTCCTCAAACAGGGTCTAAAGGAATGATTTAAACATTCTTTTTTCCGGGGGGCAGGGGGGAATATGCATCTTGATGTTGGTGGTTCAAGTTTACCTTGTTTTTATGATCATAATTTATTCTAGTTATGGTATTTAACACTGCTCTTTCCACTGGGTTGTTTCACTGCAGATCACAAAACTCAGGCTGGTTAGTTCTAGGCTGGGTTCTCCTTGAGTCCTAAGTCATGTATGACTTTGCAAGCTGTTTGCAGTTCCCACTCGTAACAGTTTACAATTACCAGTAATTACATATTCACATAACTTCAGTTTGTATGAGAACTTCTTCCTCATAAAGCCCAGAAATTCAAAAACCTTATATTAGATGCCTCACAGTTTTGCTTTTTTCTGATCTTATGCTCTCTTCCGTTTCACTTCTCTTCCAACTTCCTTTGATGGTTTCCTTTTGAAAGCTCTCAACCGGCAAGATAAAACGCTCTTTCAACCTTATATAAACACTTCCACCAGCACACCACTTAGTTGACTGTGCCTTAAATTTTACAAAGCTCATAAGAGCATGGTGCCATGAATATGGTTATTTTTATGTCGGTGATTTAGAGATCAGCCTTCTTGAGACTGGGATATAGTTGTTTCATGCACTTCATCTCCTATTATGGTTCCTTCCACCACCACCACCACCACACCTTTTTAACTATGTTTATCAAAGTAGTTTATTGGCTACAACAGAAAATATGCAAAACATAAATTCAGCTTTAAAAGTCAAGCCAAAAAAATTACATCATAGCATATCAATTACACAGCTTTTGGCAACAGCATACTCTTTACCATACTTTTTAACATCTATATGAAGCCGCTGGGAGAGATCATTAAGGGGGTTTGGGCTGGGTGTTCATCAGTATGCAGATGATACCCAGCTCTACCTCTCTTTCAAATCAGAACCAGTGAAGGTGGTGAAGGTCCTGTGTGAGTGCCTGGAGGTGGTTGAAGGATGGATGGCGGCTAACAGATTGAGGTTGAATCCTGACAAGACAGAAGTACTGTTTTGGGGGGACAGAGGGCAGGTGGGTTTGGGGGACTCCTTGGCCCTGAATAGGGCAACTGTTCCCCTGAAGGAGCAGGTGTGCAGCCTGGGAGTCAGTTTGGACTCACAGCTGTCCATAGAAGCCCAGGTCAATTCTGTGTCCAGGGCAGCTGTCTACCAGCTCCATCTGGTACACAGGCTGAGACCCTACCTGCCCACGGACTGTCTCGCCAGAGTGGTGCATGTTCTAGTTATCTCCAGCTTGCAACGCGCTCTACGTGGGGCTACCTTTGAAGGTGACCCGGAAACTACAACTAATTCAGATTGCGGCAGCTAGACTGGTGAGTGGGAGTGGCCGCCAAGACCACATAACACCTGTCTTGAAAGACCTACATTGGCTCCCAGTACGTTTCCGAGCACAATTCAAAGTGTTGGTGCTGACCTTTAAAGCCCTAAAAGGACTCAGCCCAGTATACCTGAAGGAGCATCTCCACCCCCGTCGTTCAACCCGGACACTGAGGTGCAGCGCCAAGGGCCTTCTGGTGGTTCCCTCATTGCGAGAAGCGAAGTCACAGGGAACTAGGCAGAGGGCCTTCACGGTAGTGGCACCCGCCCTGTGGAACACCCTCCCATCAGATGTCAAAGAAATAAACAACTATCCGACGTTTAGAAGACATCTGAAGGGAGCCCTGTTTAAGTTTTTAATGAAGATGTTTTAATGTATTTTTAATCTTTTGTTGCAAGCTGCCCAGAGTGGCTGGGGATGGGCGGGGTATAAATAATAAATTATTATAAATTATTATTTCCACTGATCCAGAAAATAGAAAAATAGAACAATATAAAAGAGGATCAAATAAAATCAGAATGGAAATATTCAGCAGTTATTTGTTTTATGATTTAAACTTTGTGTTTGTGTGCACCTCCACAAAAAAAATGTATTTTTCAAACTTCAACCTGGATATTTATCACAGGATGAAATATCTGCAGAAACTCCAATTTCATTGTTTTATGTGTCACCACCCACACTGAAGTGGTGGTGGTGATGGTTGCATTTTGCATAATCAGTGGCTGCATTCATTTAAAAGCAGTTGTTTCATTGTAATTTTATAGAAGTTTCCCCATCAGTACTGATGTACTATATTACAATACTAATTTAGTGGCAACATTGTGCACTTCTAACCAATATTGCAGAAGAGTCCAGTGAACAATAAACTTCTGTAGAAATGAACAAAATGTGCCTCAATTCAAGATACTGATAAAGAGGAAGATTCACTGTTTGAGACAAGTGTTTGAACTTATCAAACTCCATGGCACTGAAAGCAGAAAGATGATGTAACATTTTGCGTAATTTTGCTGAAAATCCTTGAATCATTTCTTCATAATACCTTTCAGAAAATAACCCTATTTTATAAATAGCCATGTGTTTCTCCCATTTAAACCACGTAAGTAAAGTAAAGTATCCCTAACACTCCAGTTTCATTAAGCTTTCTTAGGTAAAACAAATTCTAAAGGGGTTAATAGTGTATTAGTATCTTGCAGCCAAAGTTTTGTGGCACTTTGGAGACTTAACAATTTGTACAAGCAAATAAAGACTAATGAGGTTATTTACAGTCAAGCAAAATTACAATAATTTTTATGAAATAAATAAAAACAATAAAGCAAATTACTTATGCTTTCATGGACAAACCCACTTTGCCAGGTGAGTGAAGTGAAATCTAAGTTGGCAAGTGCATAAAGGAGAAAACTGTACTGTGGGAGCTGAATGGCAGTGAGATGCAAATGTCATTAGTAAATTGACATAAAGCCACACAGTAAAAGGCGGTTGAATCCCAAATTTCATCTCCATCCTTTCTGTTACTTAACAGAATATGATCTGAGCTGGCCCAATATATTTTGTCGCTTGGAGCAAAGGTGTTCTACCTCCCATCTGCCATCGTGGCAATTTGGTCTTATTTCAGCACTGCTGACAGGAGAGAGTCCTCCACAGCATTTGAGAGTAGCAGGCTAGCTTAAGAGGGTGCAGGGCAGGCCACATGGTAACTTTACTCACTGGCTTCTCTGCTTCCTGCTTCCTGCTCACTGCCTGCTCCAATGCTGCAGTGCAGCACCATTGTGCAACACATGAATGGAGGAGCCCAGGACCTGGGCTGGTTGCCTCTGCCTGCCTGACTGCTTGCTTGCATAGGCAACTTTCCTAACAGTGTGAGGTCAGAGCATGTCATTTTAGGTGGTGGATCTTAATTTTTGCAAATATCTTCAGTGAGACGTATTAAAAATATGTTGGGGGGGGTTAAGGAATTCAAATCTGCTTTTTTTGTGAATGGACAACATTTAGCTTGGTAGGTTGACATTTGATGAAGAAGCACATAAACTATTCTTGGAGAAACAAAGAATTTTAGTTTTACCTTCTGAAAGTGTCAGGTAATATAAAATATGTATAATATATAAATGGAATAATAATATTAATATATAATATGACTGCAAGTACAGTGGTACCTCAGGTTAAGAACTCAATTCGTTCTGGAGGTCCGTTCTTAACCTGAAACGGTTCTTAACTTAAGGTACCATT